GACTCTGCATCAGCTCCACCTGAATACATTAAATGTTCAAAAATACATCAATAATAAAGAAACATCAATTAATAATTATAATACAAAATTAGCAATAATAATAAAGATAATACACTTAAAAAATGTATTACAAATAAATAATAATAATAATGAATAATAATAATTAAAAATTACCAATAATAAAGAAAATACACCTAAAAATAATACTACAACCGTAGATAGATTTGACCTCTTAGTTCTTTAAGCCCTAGTGGAAGAAATACAAAATAAAGCATATATATAACATGGCTTGGGTTAAATAGATTGGTGAGAATGGTTAAAATAGTCAAATTTGACAACAAAATAAAAAATCAAGTTAATAAAATCCAGATCCGTCACCTGATCCTGGTGGTCTTTGGGGGTCTGACAGCATCTGAAGTCTTTGGCCACCTGACTGACGTTCCTGATCATCAGAGCCTCCGCAGCCCCGAAGGCCTCCCTCACAGCAGACACACACTGAGGGAGAGGAGGAGGGGTAGCACAGGGAGATGTAAGAACTGCTGGACCATGCACACGCAGGTAAGATAAGATAAGAGGCACTTTATTGATCTCAAATTGGGACATTTTTGCATTGCAGCAGCATACAAAACAACAAAACAACCAAACACTCAGACATGTGGTGGAGCTGGAGGTATACACACCTTCTCTGAGCCCCCAACTGCTTCATTCATGAGACTCAAGCCAACCGCCTGAAACAGAGAAAAAATCACAGGTGAGAGTAGAGGTATGGGGTTAATTAAAGAGGCCCTATCATGCTCATGTTCAGGTATTTGACATGTAAACTGGTTTAATGCTCAAAAAGTGCTTTATTGTTCTCATACTGCCTGCTATATATCCATGTGGATGTGCGACTTAAGCTCAAAGTTGAGTGCATGTCCCTGCCTGGTAAGAATTAAGTAGTGGTTGATTATGTTTTATGATAACATGGGAGCTATATGAATTTTTTTTATATTAAATTAAATACTAGGATTTAGAATACAATTAAAAGAAGGCTCTGAGGAAACAAATATTGAGAGGTAACATCAAAAAGAGTAAATACATGTGGGGTTTGTGCGTTATTGGGCTAGTCAATATCACTATAAAGTAACTTTGGTGTCCCCATCAGAATCACTCAGTTATCATGAACATGTAGCAGCATAATGAAACTCTGAGGTCTCATTATAAATGGCCAAACATTTACACACATATCAGTACAATGGTAAGTCTCTTGAAATGTGTTTCTTTCATTTTATACCGTATTTTTTCATTGGATGTTCGTGATTTTGGCATGTCCCACACACTGCTGTGCTAACTACAGTACAGTGTGTGTAATAAGTGGTTAAATGACACTACATTTTTTTTTAAATGATATGGTTTTATTGTCCACAACGAGTTATTTGATAAAACGAGTCATCTTGATCATGTATATTCTATTTTCATAATAATATTGAACATTTGTCATGTGTCCCTGACATTGCTGCCCCTATAAAAAAACCATCTGATGTTTTCAGTGACATCACTACCATCATTTTGTCTTTCCTCAGTGGAGGTAGCTACAGTGGTTAGTTGCAGAGTAAGTATGTACACTTATATTTCGTAATTTTAATCATATTATGTGTTGGATGTTGTCAAGCTTAACATGTCCTCTAGTGAAATGTCAATTAATATAAAAACCTTTCACAAATTTGAAATATATTTGTTACACAGTCACCTTGCTAACTGAATCATGTTGCTAACTGAAGGTCCACCATGTGCTCATTAAATGCCAATATTAACCAAAAATGTCCACCCTGTCAGCAAGCCTTCCATGACAGGGTGGACATGGTACAAATAGTTTGCCATAATTTCATTATTATCCAAATACTTTTTCCATTAACTTAAATATATTGTTGAGAAAGGGACTAAATAGCTTTCTGAAAATGTACATTTTATAATCACTATGTAACTACAATGTATTTACTCTACACTGAATGTGTCCCAGACAGGGTGGATACATGTTGCTGTTTGCATGTACATTGTCTGTCTGCAATTCATTTATAAAAAGTGTGGGAGCTTGACCAACATCCATTTCTAACAGCATAACGTATACTTAATACAAGGGGAAGTCTCAAATGCACCTTATTGTGATATTGATTGTAATTCACTGACCCCCTAAAGCTTGTCAAAAATGTCTTAGTAGCAAATTGAGATGCATTGGGAAACTCCTGGCTACAGCCCTGAGAATATGCTCATATTGGGACCATGGTTTGAGTTTACATCACTGTAGGCAGAGAAGTCCAGCTCGGCCTTGACAGGAGCAGAAGACGCCACGGCTCCGAACACCAGGTGAGGAAACTGCAAGAGGAACAGAGAGATTACATTTACTCACTAATATGGAGATTGTCATTGAGTTTGGTGTCTATTTCACGTTAGACGTTGGTCGACAGAGCAAAACGTAGTATATTCACAAATAACCCTCTCATGACGTTTTGTTTTTTTTAAACATGGAGCTCAAATAATCTTCGTAATATCTATCAAACTATGGATCCTACACATCCACTGGAAGTAGATTCTAAAAGTACAATATAAACTTCTCGCTAGAAATGTAATCAAAAAGCATTTTAACGGCCAAATTACAATTTAGGATTTCCCAATAAAAATAAATCGGGTGTCCGCCATGTTTTTTTTTCTCGCTGGGAAAGTTTGCGATCACGTGACATGAACACTGCTCATTCGAAATGAATAGGATAACATATTGTATCCATGTCACGTCTTGAGAGGGTTATTTGTGAATATACCAGGTTTTGCCCTTTCGACCATATTCGACATTATTTATTTTCTCACTTTTTGTATTACTTTTAATTAGGGCTGTCAGTCGATTAAAATAGTTAATCGCGATTAATCGCACATTTTTGATCCGTTCTAAATGTACCTTAGAGGAATATTTTTCAAGTTTTTAATACTCTTATCAACATATGAGTGGACAAATATGCTTTATGCAAATGTTTATTATCATTTGAACAATGACAAATATTCTCATGAATATTAAACACAACAACCTCAACATTACAAATATTCGCCTCAATTCAACCTGGAACCTCTCTCATACAATAATACAGTGTGTGTGTGTGTGTGTGTGTGTGTGTGTGTGTGTGTGTGTGTGTGTGTGTGTGTGTGTGTGTGTGTGTGTGTGTGTGTGTGTGTGTGTGTGTGTGTGTGTGTGTGTGTGTGTGTGTGTGTGTGTGTGTGTGTGTGTGTGTGTGTGTGTGTGTGTGTGTGTGTGTGTGTGTGTGTGTGTGTGTGATGGATCGTTGGAGCTATGTGCAACTCAAGGCTATGCTCGAACCGGAACTGCCTGGACACTGCAATCATGTTGCGCACTACCCGTGCTGAGTGTGCTGACTGTTCGTACAATGTCCCACTGTCTGGCTTCCTGCATAAAGTCAAGTGCTCGGCGCAGTTGTGGTGAAATGTCGCTCCTCTGTTTTCATTTAAACAGCTCCGTATATCCGTTAGCGCAGCTAGCTAGCACCAGATGCTAACAACAACAATGCACGTAAGGTCTCTCTCTCGCTCGGGCCACACATACACACACCCTCCCGGTCCTCCCAACAGCCAGTCGGTGCCTGCCGGTGAGCGTGGAAGTGTGGTCTGCCACAAGCGGGCGGCAGGAGCGGGGCTGTCAGCATCAGCTTGTAGATGGTATTTTAAACTCGATGCGCTCTGAAACTACGGGGCGGCCGAGGACAAAAAATACACATGCGTTAATCGCGTTAAAATAATTAGTGGCGCTAATTTTTTTTTTGCATTAACGCGTTATTAACGCGTTAACTTGACAGCCCTACTTTTAATATAGTATATTTTAATATTGTCTGCTTATCTGTATTATTGTGCTGCATTGTTGGAGAAGCCTGTGACCTAAGATTTTCAACGACATAATCACTAGCTATGTTAGTTTGACAATAAAGAACCTTGAACCTATTACACGTTTTGTTGTGAGACTGGGTTGCGTATTTTCTGACTTGTGTGGTCAAATAGAAAATGTATCTACAGTGCCTTTCAATTCAATATGAGGTTTGTTTGTAAGACCATGTTTAAACGGGTCTCACATGAGAAAGGCACGTATCTACTGAGACACTCTGTTCACCGATGATCCATGTATTATTCACCTTTCCTCTGAACCAGGCGGACAGCGCTCCAGAGTACGAGCCGCCGAAGCTGATCCAGATGTTCCTGCGGCTCAGACTGAAGCTCTGGACGATGTACTGGTGGAGAACAACCAAGTCAGTGAGCCTGGGGAAACACACACACACACACACACACACACACACACACACACACACACACACACACACACACTTAGACAAATTAAACAAAATGAACAAAAACAAAGTTAAGGGTAAATCTGACTGATAACATTAGTATTACCTATTTTTGGCATACCAAATACCTCACTCACACACACTCACACACACTCACAACTCTCTAACTCACACACACAAACACACAAACACACACTCACACACACTCACAACTCTCTAACTCGCACACACACACATACACTCAAACTCACACACACACAAACACACACACACACACACACACACACAAACACACACACACTCACAACTCTCTAACTCACACACACACTCACACAAACACACTCACAACTCTCTAACTCGCACACACACACACACATACACTCAAACTCACACTCACACACACACTCACACACACAAACACACACACAACTCTCTAACTCACACACACACTCACACAAACACACACTCACACACACTCACAACTCTCTAACTCGCACACACACACATACACTCAAAACTCACACACACAAACCACACACACACACACACCAACACAAACACACACACATCACAACTCGCGAACACACACACACACTCACACAAACACACACTCACAACTCTCTAACTCGCACACACACACATACACACACATGCAAACGCACACGCACACACACACACACACACACACACCACACACCATCACAACGCCAACACCCCACACAAACACACACACACTCACAACTCTCTAACTCACACACACACACACACACACACACACATACACTCAAACTCACACTCACACACACACACACAAACACACACACACACACACACACACACAACTCTCTAACTCGCACACACACTCTCTAACTCACACACACACACACACACACACACACACACACACACCAACTCTCTAACGCACACACACACACAAACACACACTCACAACTCTCACTTCGCACACACACTCTCTAACTCACACACACACTCACAACTCTAACTCGCACACACACTCACACAAACATGCACACTCTAACTCACTCACACACTCACAACTCTCTAACTCACACCCCCCCCCCCACACACACACACACACACTCACAACTCTCTAACTCGCACACACACTCTCTAACTCACACACACACACTCACACAAACACACACTCACACACTCACAACTCTAACTCGCACACACACACACAGTCATGCACACTCTAACTCACACACACACTCACAACTCTCTAACTCACACCCCCCCACACACCCACACTCACACTCTAACTCACACCCCCCCCCCACACACACACACTCACAACTCTAACTCACACACACACACACACACACACACACACACACACACACACACACCACCACACTCACGCCTGCTGGCTGCTCAGGTGAGCCAGGTTCTCTGTTTTGAGGCCATCAGGGTTGATGCTCACGCCATAAAAACGATGCTCCACAGCCAATAGCAGCGCTCCGTGCTCTGCAGCCATGTCAACGTGGTGTCCTGAGGAGTGGGAGATGATGCAAAAATCCTTTGCAGTAAGCAATAGTTTTCAAAGATTTCTGAGTGTATATATTTAATCAATACTTACATGTCTTAGATACTTACTCCCACAACCCATCAGAGACGGCACTGACCTCACCACCTTCAAAACACTCACCTCTTCAACCTGGCTTTTAATATGTGATTGTTGTTGTATTGCTTGATTTTAATTTGACTTTAACTATATTTATTTGTTGTTCTTTTCTTTTTACTACCTCTGTAAAGCGACTTTGAGCACCTGTAAAAGCGCTCATAATAAATGTATTATTATTTGTATGTCTTATTGCTCAGTTTGAGAATATATCATATCATTTGTTTGTATAATGTCAGCAAACTCTATTTATGTTTCTAGTGTTTTGCATTTGCTTTTTACCCCACTGTAGCATTTTTTAACTATTATATTGTAATATTTGTATTATTCTGAAGGATGCCTAACTACATCAGGCTATGGAAACGAGATTGTCTTGAGTAATATCTAAGTGTTTCATTGTTTAGTGTTGTCCCTTTTCAAAAACAGATTAATTGACATATGATTTGACTTTCTTGCAAATACTCCTTTCAACCAATCTGCTGTTTTTCTGACAGACAGGTGAGGACACATACCTGCCAGAACATCAAACTCATAGACGGGTCCTTCTCCTCCGATGAAGAGGAACACGGGACCATCGGGGCGCTGCCAGAACGCCTCGTTCACAAAGAACCTCTGCAGGGAAACACAGGAAGAAAGAAGCAGAACATAACAAAAGAAAGTAAAGGAATTGAGGTTGATCCAAACCAGACGTACATTCCTAGCCTTGGTGTAAGTAATCCTTTATTTAACGCTGATAGGTTACATCCACATTATCACCCTCAATTGACATTAAGAGCTAAACGAAGCTGAATACACTCTGCAGTAACGGCTTTTGTTAGATTCCTCTCATCTAACCTTCCTCTCCATCTCATGTGGACCTAGCATGCTATATTTGAATAATATATTGTAGTATGTAGGCCATACCTATATAAAACATGTCTGTGAAGTTTTTTTTTCAAAATACCAAACAGATCATGCATTTTAGCCGTGCCTCATTTCGCTCTATTTGCTCTTTCCAACCCCGTTTTTGCAAGTGCTGAATCTGTGACGTAGCTTTAATGCAAATGAGCTGCAGCTGACCACGCCCCCCTGCAGGAGAGGGGAGCGTGCTCTGATCAGCTGCTGGGCTGTCAGAAGAGGGGGAGAAAAAGAGATCTCCGTCCTCCGTGTGTTATTCTTATATGATTATATAGAGTCGTTATTCATTTGTTTTCAAGCTCAATAAATAACAAAGAAGACCTTTGACCGGCACTTTTCTAATTTTGTCCGGAAGATTTAAACTTTAACGGACATGTTGACCAGCGAAAAAAAATCTAACTGAAACTCTGCCGCACTCTGCTCGTCCCTTGGAAGAGGGAGAGGTCATCTGCTGGTGGACTAACCGGAGAGAATTACAGTGCTTTCCTCGACGGGGAGGGATTGCATTGAATTACAGGAGCAAACGCTTGACTCGGGAAGGGAGAAAAAGAGCCAGAGCGTCCACAGCGGAGAATAAACAGAAGGGCAACCATGGCAACCATGCGCAGGAAGTCTTCTTCGCTGCTTTTGTGGCAGACTACAGCGCCACTTACAGGCCTGGCATATGTACTACAGCGTCTCCAGCGCTTTTGAGCAGCAATGGCCGGCCGTGGCCCAACCCCACATTCCCCTGATAGGTGGGGAGTTGTCCATATAGGTGGAGCACCCCTTTTTGCATGATAGGTCCCCTTTAAGTTGACAATACATCTGTTTCAATAGCTTTGCTGCGTTGGGAAAAAAACACTAAACCAGCCTCAGAAATAACATGAAGGCGTCATATTCGATCCATTAAATCTATGATCACAGCACGCTTTAAAGATGCGTTGTGTGTCTGAACCGTCTGGCCTTTGTCATGTTATCATGTTACAGCACGCATATCTGCATATCCACACAATCATATACTATAATATATAGTAATATAATATATAGTACTAGTATATAAAACTAGTATATAATATAATATATATATATATATATAATATATAATACTATAATAATACTATATAATATATACTATATCATATCCCTCTGGAACTCACTCCCACAACCCATCAGAGACTGCACTGACCTCACCACCTTCAAAAAACTTACAAAAACTCACCTCTTCAATCTGGCTTTTAATGTGTGATTGTTTTTGTATTATTTGACTTTAACTTGAACTATATATTTATTTGTTGTTCCTTTATTTTATTTTATCTTCACTATATCTGTAAAGCGTCTTTGAGCACCTGTAAAAGCGCTAACAAATTAAATCTATTATTATTATTATTATTATTATTATAACAACATGCAGTACTTGATTCTACTGTACAGTATTTTATGTTCAATTCAGTTTTTATCTCACTCTATTTTACAGAATGTATATATTCCTCCATTATATCACCTGCATTATTTTGTATTTCCTTTGTTTTTATGTTTTAAATATATTGTGTGTTGCATTGTTGTAGAAGCCTTGGACTTATTTTCGCTGTAGCTGTTGAACCTTTGACAATACATCCTTTGAATCTCCATCCTCTGTTACCTGGATATCATTGATAGTTGATGTTTCTCTACCTGAGGGAAGGTTTTAGCGTCCTGCCGGTTGAAGTGGTCGAGCTGCTGGTGGATCCGGCCCTCCTTCACGTGTTGGAGAGCGGCCGTCAGGAGATGCTGCTTCGCTCTCTGCAGCTGAACATCCCGCACACGCTGCTTCATCTTCATCAGAATCCGTCCTGACATCAAAAGAAACCAAGCAGCAGAGAAAACAGAGATTCATAATCGTGCACAGTCACACAAATACAGCCCTCGATGTGACATGTGAGCTAAACTGATGAGTAAGTTATCAGGATTTCAGATTGTATTCATTACAGTTGTGCCTACTTGCTCTAAAGTGCTTGTTATCGGGGGCTCTGTTGTCCATTTGATTGATGAAAACAGCTTTTATGTTCTTGTCACTGATGTGGAGACTTGCAAAAACACTTAAAACTCTACCTGCAAACTGAGTTGTATACTCTGATGTATTTCAGGTACAGTCCAAATCTAACATGAGTTCCCGAGGGATTTACTGCACTCGTTTGATTTGTCTTTTGACAGCTGCAAACAAGCTTTGACACAATTGTGCTAAGAGTACGAGTTTAGCTTTCAAAAGTCCTCATATGTGTGGATGTCTTTGTCGTTGCTTTATCATATGATGAATCTGTCAAAACACCAATTTTAAATCTGTGAGTAAACAACCATCAACTCACCAGCATCAGTGAAGTTCCAGAGGAGAAGAAGGACGAGACATTGGGCCTTTGAGAAAACCATCTTTACCAAATCAGGATCATTTAAGTTACATTTAAAGTCCTTCTAAAATACAATTCAGGAGTCAGGAGGATCTTCCCCTCTCGACAGCTCAATATATAGTCCCTGGAGGGCTGCAAAAAAGTGTGATAACAGTCGTGTGTGTGTGTGTGTGTGTGTGTGTGTGTGTGTGTGTGTGTGTGTGTGTGTGTGTGTGTGTGTGTGTGTGTGTGTGTGTGCTCAGCGAAACAGAGCTTGGTGATGTAATGAGATCTCTCTGCCTCGTAATGGCTTTTTTTTTGGAGTGGTTCAGTTACAGGAGCATTTGGCCTTTCAATATCATTTTGGGTTCATTTGACAGACTCACATTCATTTCCTGGAGACTAACACAAGCCCAAACAATAACCACATACTTCCTGAGGATGAAGACCACCCCCTCTTTAAAAGTAGAACTAGGTTAAGTTGTGAATTATTCATGACTTTTAAACAGGACACAAACTGAGGTCTCCTGGGTGAAAGTCCTGTGTTTGCATGAACCATCATAACCCACATTAGGCTGATTTGTATCATGGTAGTAAAAAAAGCGATACAAAAGTATATTATACATAACATGTAAAAAGTAAGATATTTTATGGTATTAAAATGGTCGTAACATATTCAAGGGTTTCACTGGAAAAAGTCCTAAAAACGTCAGAGTGTGGAATGTAAAATATATCACACAAAATGTAATGATTAAAAAGCTAGTATATATATCTTTTAAATCTATGGTAAGTCGAAAGAAAACATCATAGTATAGTAAGAAAACAAAATCCTATGTAAAAAAAAACACAATATAGTATATCCCAAAAATCAGAGACACATCCAACTCTAATACGTTGAAAATATTCATAGTATGTTTGAAAGATGTCAATGCAACATTTAACTGCATGTTCACAACTCCGTCCTTTAATTCAGAGCATGCACCTGATTCCTTGTTCATTTATCTAATTGTTCTGATTATGTATTTATGCTGCACTTGTACTGTGAGAGGGTTTTCTCCTCCATACAGTATTGCATCAGGTCAGGGCCGCCCCTCCCTACAGGCCAATCACGCAGGCTGCAGGGGGCCCCGCCCAGAGGGCCTCAGCTGCTGTGCGCAGTTCTCCGCTCAGTTCTGTGCATAAGCATGTTTTGTCTTGACTATATTACAACTATATATATATTTTTATATGTTTTATATAGTATTTATATTATTGAATTGATTATGATTATTATTATTAGTAGAAGTAGTTTATTTGCATTAATTATATTGTAATCTTTTTGAGGCTAGTTTGGCAGGAAATGCAGACGCACCTGTAAACGCGTACTGAACGACATACATGCACATTTACCATTTACCTCACTGTATACAAAAGTAACTGTTGATAATAATAATAAACAGGAATTATATTTGCAAAGTAGCCTACTTTGTTTCCAAAAAGAATGGTTTCACTCCTGTCGGACATCTCACAATGTTGCTTGGGGGCCCAAGTTGGCCAGGGACAAGTAGCTCATTTATTTTTTGTTTTGTAATGTCATCATGGTTCTTTTAGCTCTTGCATCACACCATCTTTCCACTCTTCATATGTATGTTGTTGTTGCATGTTAAAGGGTCCCCTATTATACTGTTTTCATCAACATATTATAGCTCTCAGATAAATACAAAACATGTCTCTGAAGTGTTTGGCTCCAAACACCAAACAGATCATTGCAGCATTACCCATAATCCCCTCTGTTTCAGCCCTGTTTCCAAAGTGCTGATTCTCTGTCTGTTACTTTAGATGAAAATAAGGAGCCCCTCCCCACGCCCCTCTGAGAGAGATTTGGTTACAAAGAACTCAATGGTGCTCTAGGAGGAGATTAGGTGATAAGGGGGGGGGGGGGGGGGGGGTTACCTTGGTTGCTGATTGGCTAATGGTTACACAAGATAAAACATCGTTATGACATCATAAAGTCGCCAAAATCTGATCAGCTCGTTTTCAGACAGGTTTTTATTAAAAATGGATCAAAAAGAGAGAGAATCTTTGTTCCTGAAGCTTTCAGAGTCTCTTTCCACAGAGGGGACACATGTTGATGTAGAAGAGACATGAAGAAGAGGGGACACATGTTGATGTAGAAGAGACATGAAGAAGAGGGGACACATGTTGATGTAGAAGAGACATGAAGAAGAGGGGACACATGTTGATGTAGAAGAGACATGAAGAAGTGGGGACACATGTTAATGTAGAAGAGACATGAAGAAGAGGGGACACATGTTGATGTAGAAGAGACATGAAGAAGAGGGGACACATGTTGATGTAGAAGAGACATGAAGAAGAGGGGACACATGTTGATGAAGAAGAGACATGAAGAAGAGGGGACACATGTTGTAGAAGAGACATGAAGAAGAGGGGACACATGTTGATGTAGAAGAGACATGAAGAAGAGGGGACACATGTTGATGTAGAAGAGACATGGAGAAGAGGGGACACATGTTGATGTAGAAGAGACATGGAGAAGAGGGGACACATGTTGATGTAGAAGAGACATGAAGAAGAGGGGACACATGTTGATGTAGAAGAGACATGAAGAAGAGGGGACACATGTTGATGTAGAAGAGACATGAAGAAGAGGGGACACATGTTGATGTAGAAGAGACATGAAGAAGAGGGGACACATGTTGATGTAGAAGAGACATGAAGAAGAGGGGACACATGTTGATGTAGAAGAGACATGAAGAAGAGGGGACACATGTTGATGTAGAAGAGACATGGAGAAGAGGGGACACATGTTGATGTAGAAGAGACATGAAGAAGAGGGGACACATGTTGATGTAGAAGAGACATGAAGAAGAGGGGACACATGTTGATGTAGAAGAGACATGGAGAAGAGGGGACACATGTTGATGTAGAAGAGACATGGAGAAGAGGGGACACATGTTGATGTAGAAGAGACATGAAGAAGAGGGGACACATGTTGATGTAGAAGAGACATGAAGAAGAGGGGACACATGTTGATGTAGAAGAGACATGAAGAAGAGGGGACACATGTTGATGTAGAAGAGACATGAAGAAGAGGGGACACATGTTGATGTAGAAGAGACATGAAGAAGAGGGGACACATGTTGATGTAGAAGAGACATGGAGAAGAGGGGACACATGTTGATGTAGAAGAGACATGGAGAAGAGGGGACACATGTTGATGTAGAAGAGACATGAAGAAGAGGGGACACATGTTGATGTAGAAGAGACATGAAGAAGAGGGGACACATGTTGATGTAGAAGAGACATGAAGAAGAGGGGACACATGTTGATGTAGAAGAGACATGAAGAAGAGGGGACACATGTTGATGTAGAAGAGACATGGAGAAGTGGATTTTGCATAATAGGGGACCTTTAAAGAGAAAACAGACATACATAATGTTCCACCAGTGGTGTGTAGTTAATATGAAACGAGTCAGAGAAGATATCCACTTCAGGATAATCTGCATCATCACAGGCCAATTACATTTGCAACGATTACTCGTGGATGATTTAAAATGTGTTCATGACGTAATGCAGATCCTCCCCGTCTGCTGTCGGATTATTAATTAATCAGTTTTGTGTTTTGTGAGAAAACTAAAACAATATTAACATTTGTTGAAGTTAAAACATTCTAGCTGCAGGGTAAAGTTGCTGGGTCATTTTGGGGGTCAAAGAAATGAACAAAGCATCAACAGATAACCATTTATTTTCACTACTTTATTCACAGACATATTTCATGATTTAATCAGCAGACATAAAATACAGAGTTGTTTTCATTTGACTAACATACCATAATATAATATGCTCCCTTTAGTACTGACTTTAGTCCAGTCTCTGACTCTGGACTAAGGCTTTAAACGTGGTTTTACAAAACATTCTAACAGTGCTGTTTTTTATTTAATTATAGATAAACACATGCAAGGAAAAACGTATATTTTGAAATCATTCACAAAAGCATTAATGAAAAAGAAATGAGAAAAGTAAACATTGATCTTCACAAGTTTCAATTATGGATTAGGTTACGAAGACATAACGCAGACTTTGCACAATGCAGCTTTAGGAAAAAAAAAAAGCAAGCGGCCGGTCAGCAGTTACACGTTTGGGTCATTCCAGAAATGGAGGACGTTCACTGACGTTTCCAATAATCCATGCCAACAAATGCTAAAACATGCACTTGTTGTGTTGAACAAACGTGTCCTTAGACTGAATGTAAACACAGTTGTAGGAAAAGGGGTTTCAAAGTATTATTTGAAATGGCCTCGAGCACCCCCTAAAATGGCATTTCTCTCTTTTCCCTTGCATGTTGAATATAACATTAAAACAGGCTATCATTTGGTTGATTGTTGATATTACTTTAGTTTCAGAGTATATGAATAGGTAGCCTAAGCATGTTAAGGCTGCTAACAATGTTTCTTAACGATTACCTCAAAATGAACTGATTTAAAATGACACATCAAGAGGTTAATAAACCTTTTTTAAGTGGATTTCTACATTTTCTTTAAGCAAACCATTAAGCGCTGCTGAAAAGCCACACATAAAGCATCTGATCAAATGTACCATTGATGCCAGAGCTGGACAAATACAATGTTTTGATGATTTACTACCTGTTTTTCTCAACTACACAACAGACAATGTGAGAATAAAGGGTTAATTATTCAAAGTTTGGATGTTTAAAACGTCCTCTGATTCTGAGATGACCCGTTTACATTACAGCGAACATAAGAAATCAATGCGTTATGTTTGCTCAGAGAAGCAATGGCGTCATGTTCTGCAGTAATGAGTGTGTGAGTGGTACTGAGAAACACAAAGTACCCTCCAGGGGAGAAGGAAAAAAAACTGAAAGTACAGTCGCCCTGACAACACATGGCAACAGTCGTCTCCCCCGACGACCATAACCACCATAAAACCCCCAGAGGAAATTACAATTCATCATGGCTTTAGGACTTTGCTACAAGGAAAACCCTGTGATGGAAACAGCTTGCATCACACCATAACAAAAAACAACTCATAAAATAGATAGGAAGTGAAATAATTGAAATAAAGATAATTGTTACTAGGGAAACATTTGCAATAATCAAACTGAAATCACGAGTAAAGTGCGACTGAGACGTGTTTAGATCCACAGTTGATGCTACAGTGGCTGGAGACGTGCCTTTGGATGGCGAGTGGGGGGGGGGGGGGGGGGGGGGTTAATCGTGTTTACGCCTCATCGCAGATAACAGTCTCCACCACGAATGTGTTCTCGAAGTGACGGATGTGGTGGCAGTCCTTCGCATCGCGCTTGTTGATGCCTGAGAGGGAAAAAAGGGCGAGACAGAGAGAGGAGAGTTTAAAAACAATAGATTCCATTTATACTGGGGACATGTCTGAATTTGTCCCCAACGCTTTGCATTAGGATGATTTGTTTGAAGGTCCAGACACACCAAGCTGACACCAAAGAACACGTCCCGACCGAACACGACTGTTGTGATTCGCCTCACGTCTCCTGCGTCTTGGCCAACAGTCGCACTGGAGCACACCGCAAAGACTTCAGCCGACGGCCAAGTAGCACGTATACGAACTGCTACGTACGATTTATTTTGCCGACAGCCTCCTGATTCAACATGTTGAATCGGGGGCGGAAGGTGTCGGCACGGCCGAAAAGACACGACGGTGCTGGACACACCAATCTGAGTAGGGCGACAGGACGCTCATCGACGGACAGACATCTATCGACGGACGAAATCGGCTTGGTGTGTCCGGGCCTTAAAGGTCCCCTATTATACTGTTCCATCAATATATTATAGCTCTCAGATAAATACAAAACATGTCTCTGAAGTGTTTGGCTCCAAACACCAAACAGATCATTGCAGCATTACCCATAATCCCCTCTGTTTCAGCCCTGTTTCCAAAGTGCTGATTCTTTGTCTGTTACTTTAGATGAAAATAAGGAGCCCCTCCCCACGCCCCTCTGAGAGAGATTGGTTGCTGATTGGCTAATGGTTACACAACCCAAAACATCGCAATGACATCATAAAGTGGCCAAAATCTGATCAGCTCATTTTCAGACAGGTTTTTATAGAAATTGATCAAAAAGAGAGAGAATCTTTGTTCCTGAAGCTTTCAGAGTCTCTTTCCACAGAGGGGACACATGTTGATGTAGAAAAGACATGAAGAAGAGGGGACACATGTTGATGTAGAAGAGACATGAAGAAGAGGGGACACATGTTGATGTAGAAGAGACATGAAGAAGAGGGGACACATGTTGATGTAGAAGAGACATGAAAAGGAGGGGACACATGTTGATGTAGAAGAGACATGAAGAAGAGGGGACACATGTTGATGTAGAAGAGACATGAAGAAGAGGGGACACATGTTGATGTAGAAGAGACATGAAGAAGAGGGGACACATGTTGATATAGAAGAGACATGAAGAAGAGGGGACACATGTTGATGTAGAAGAGACATGAAGAAGAGGGGACACATGTTGATGTAGAAGAGACATGAAAAGGAGGGGACACATGTTGATGTAGAAGAGACATGGAGAAGAGGGGACACATGTTGATGTAGAAGAGACATGGAAGAAGAGGGGACACATGTTGATGTAGAAGAGACATGAAGAAGAGGGGACACATGTTGATGTAGAAGAGACATGAAGAAGAGGGGACACATGTTGATGTAGAAGAGACATGAAGAAGAGGGGACACATGTTGATGTAGAAGAGACATGAAGAAGAGGGGACACATGTTGATGTAGAAGAGACATGAAGAAGAGGGGACACATGTTGATATAGAAGAGACATGAAGAAGAGGGGACACATGTTGATGTAGAAGAGACATGAAAAGGAGGGGACACATGTTGATGTAGAAGAGACATGAAGAAGAGGGGACACATGTTGATGTAGAAGAGACATGAAGAAGAGGGGACACATGGTGATGTAGAAGAGACATGAAGAAGAGGGGACACATGTTGATGTAGAAGAGACATGAAGAAGAGGGGACACATGTTGATGTAGAAGAGACATGAAGAAGAGGGGACACATGTTGATGTAGAAGAGACATGAAGAAGAGGGGACACATGTTGATTTAGAAGAGACATGAAGAAGAGGGGACACATGGTGATGTAGAAGAGACATGAAGAAGAGGGGACACATGTTGATGAGAAGAGACATGAAGAAGAGGGGACACATGTTGATGTAGAAGAGACATGAAGAAGAGGGGACACATGTTGATGTAGAAGAGACATGAAGAAGAGGGGACACATGTTGATGTAGAAGAGACATGAAGAAGAGGGGACACATGTTGATGTAGAAGAGACATGAAGAAGAGGGGACACATGTTGATGAAGAAGAGACATGAAGAAGAGGGGACACATGTTGATGTAGAAGAGACATGAAGAAGAGGGGACACATGTTGATGTAGAAGAGACATGGAGAAGAGGGGACACATGTTGATGTAGAAGAGACATGAAGAAGTGGATTTTGCATAATTGGTGACCTGTCAAATGTACTGAAAATAGCGTGCACAAAGAATTGTACAGAAAGGTTAATTTGCACAAGAGAACAGTACAATCTCCAGGACAGTTCACACTTTTTTGGTGTATTTCTGGTAATTTAAGTGGTGCAGTTTAGACCTGTGACACGTATTAGTAATAATTGATGCTACTGCATAGCATAGTACTGCACTAGTTGTCAAAAAAAGTATTGTAAGAATATGCATGCAGTGCTAAAATGCTAACAAATATGTAGGTTTAAGACTCATTCCTGCACCTCTCTATAATCCTTTTAAATAACTATGTTGCCAATTCTAATATTGAATTTCATTAGTCCAGTTGCTCAATATTATGTATTTATAGAATACAAAAACTGAAGTTTAAGCTCCTCCTGCTTCAACTAACTTTGTTGTATTGTTCCTTGACTGTATATTTGTCTAATTTATAGTCTGAATATGTTTTTACACTAGATATAAGAGCTAAGAAGTAGCGATGCAGTGAAATATGGTGTCTTGTTTTTAGACAGAAGTATCTTGTTTAGTCAAAGACTCTTGAAAACACCTTATTTTGAGACATTTTTATTGGAAAATCACCAACTAACATCAGAAAGTAGAAAACTATTAAGCACTTCCTGATCCTGGTCGTTCAAAATAAGTTCTCCCAGCTAATAACAAGATCTGATTTGTCTGAATATCCCGTCTTACTTCAAGAAATCTTACCAAAGCAAATGTTCACTTGTTCTATTGGCAGATTTTTCTATTTATTACAAGCGAGAACACCTTGTTTTCCTTATTAATTTTTTTCAGCCTAAATATTAAAATGTAATTAGTTGAATACAAAACCCAGCTCACGTCTGCGGGTGAGGCTGCGGCTCAGGCGGTAGGTCTCCTTCCCGCTGCACAGCCGGTAGATGAAGGGTCCGAGCTGACGCATGTCGTGCACTTTCCCCGTCACCACCATCTCTTCATGGATGATGTACGTCTGAGGCAAGTACGTCCCCTTCTGCAGAGACAGAGGTACAATAACAACTAGCTCACAGGGATAATACATATTTTGGACTGTTTATTTCTTGTGTCTTAATTTCTCTTATGAACATTGCCTTGTTTTTTATGCCGCTGCAACGCAAATATTTCCCAAATTGGGATCAAGAATGTATCTATCTATCTATCTAACTATATACTCTGACAAAAGCTACTAAAACAGTCTGGATTGGATGTTTTCACATTATAATTTGATAATACTTACCTTTAAAAGTTAGGGTAGTTTATTTCGGGCAATTCAAAGTGCTTTAACCAATCGGAAAACAAGATGAAAATAAGGAAGAGCTCCAAATGGAGGGAGTTATCGTTAACGTTTTAACCTCCACTTGATATTCCTCCGTCAGAAACGGCTTCACAATGTGGATTAATAACAGGATTTATGTGAAACATTTGAATAACATCTATGAAACAATGTCCAAGCCTGAGATGTAAAAAAATATATATTGTAGTGACCACGATATCCATTTGTGTTTTGTCCTTTGTTTGTGGCTCACTCGTGGGGCTGACCGACGAATAGACGCTTGTAGTTTGAGAGAAAAAATACAAATGTCCAGATGCGATTGGAAAGTAAGATTTCCAAAAAAGGCAAAAAGAAATAAACGTTTTTTAAACAAACTATTTGTCCTATAAACTGATATTTTAAAGTACAATAAAGAACCAAGCTGTGACGCTCCCAACCAGCAAGGTCTAACAACTGTTTGCTTCAGTCAGCCACACCTGCAGCACCTCTCCTTTTATGCTGCAGCATCTCGACCTGCAGAGTAACGCACTCATATAATAAATAAATAATATACACCACAGAATCTCAGGTTATACTCTAAAAAGATAAAATACTATAATCTAAGGAAGTGGCTCCTACATATATCTCAATATTAGCATCTTCTGCTCTGTCTACTGTCTAGCGTAGCCGTTAGCACGCAAACTACTGTTGTTTACCAACTAGTCACTACATCCCAAAGTCTACTTTTGATTATATGTTTGTCACTTTCTGCTTTGATCAGTCGTTCAAATTGGGGTGGGCAAGATGTAGGACAGATTTTAAATTAGTCCAACTCTTCACTTCAAGTTTTTCTGTAAAGCCACTTTCCCAAAACACACACCTCTTACCGTGTTAAACAACCAGATCAGAGTGCGTACAGGTAGGAGCTTGAAAAGGCTACGAAAAAAATGGTATATGCACCAAATGAAATGATTTGACAGGCCAAATACAGACCGGTGACAACCAGATAATACGTCAGATCGTAGATTTTTAAAAATGCTATTGGGATGTAAACTATGGAAGCCCATTTCCGCCACTTAACATTTTTTAAATCCCCATGAAAAGTCATGAGATAAAAAAGTCGAAATTATGAGATAAGAAAGTCGAAATTATGAGATAAGAAAGTCATAATTATGAGATAAGAAAGTCATAATTATGAGATAGAAAGTCATAATTATGAGATAAGAAGTGCGCATGCGCTGCAGTGGCGCTGTCTTCAAAGGTCCCTTCATCACCTTGCTGCTCACCAGATGTTTCCAGTTGCTGTTCAATGAAGATTGCCACCTCAGCCACATCGGTTTTATTCTTTCGACGCCAGAGCTGCTTCTTGCTTAAAATCCTTTCAACGGTGCGTTTGCTTAGTACAACTCCATGTGAATCAGCAAGCATTTCATCTGTTGTAAATCCACGTTTAAAGTAGTCCTCAATGTACTCACAATCCATTTCCGTGTCAAGATAAATAGGAGAACTCGAGCCAAAGAGCTGCTAGTTTGTCTGTTGTGACAAAGTATCTCATAATGACTTTCTTATCTCATAGTTATGACTTTTTATCTCATAGTTATGACTTTTCATGGGGATCTTAATTTTTAAGTGGCAGAAATGGGCTTCCATAGTAAACAAACTTTTAACAGAAATACTTCTAAAATAAATTGCCCAGCTTAGCTTTTAACCCTCGGGAGAGCTACGTTGTTGTTTCTTTAACATTCAGCTGTACAGTTAAAAAGTCACATTTATGTTTTCAAAAGTCTTCATCATTTGGGAAAGGTAAAAAATAAAGCCATTTCTCTCTACAATTTCCAGAGAAGATGGTGCTTATGAAGATATAGCATTGTCTATCATTGCTGTAGTGTTACCTTCACGTTGTTAAGGAGCTCCCAAAAGTTGCGTGGAGGCATCACGATGGTGGTGTTGAGCTCAATGACGTAGCACTTGTCCAAAGCAATGTCGTGGTAGGCTGTCAGTCCCTGGATAATAAAGCAGATAATCAAAAGATGTAAATTGTGTTGTTAATGTTGTCATGTTTTGACAGTTTCCAGTAGTAACGTTTGGACAATTTCACACTTGTTAGCAGTGAGGCTGTGGGGATGTTGCCGTGTTTAGCGAAACAAAAAAACCTCAACATGTATTGAATTGATTGCCATTAATATGTTGGACATTTATAGTCCCAAGACAATGAATCCAACTTACTTTGGTGATCTTTTCTCTAGCACCATCATCAGGTCAACATTTATTTTTGGTAGCATGGCTTTAGAGTAAAGATGTGGTCATGTTAGGGTCCGAGTACAAAAGAGCTATGTGTCAAGACCCTATTTTGACGATATATAGTCCACCTTTTCCAAACTAGTTGAATATATTTGCTCTGATATTCACAAACTGTGGTAAACACATTGCTAATGTTATTTTCAAATCGGCTTTCATTAGCCCCGCCCATCCGGAAGTCGGCCATTTTGAAAAATAGTCGCTTTTCCAATATTTGTACTGAACTTTAACAAACTCCTCCGACCTAGAGAGTAGGTTGGATAAAACAAATGTTCGGATGTAATTACCACATGACACATATTACGCTAAATTGGGAATGAATAGCCGATAACTCAACCAATGACTTAGTAGGTCAAAGGAGAACACACCATTTTTGATGACGTACATGTGTCAACTTTACATTGTCAGATCTGCTGTAATGGTGACATTTGATCGTCAAATTCCTTTTTTTTCATTGACTTCTTTCAACTTAGAGTTACATGTAAGAAAGATCTAACAGTACACTTGGTGTGTTCTAGTGCCCTGATAAACATTCCCGTTTGTTTTTAACCGCAATAAACCGTATTTAATGTTGTCTTAATAGAGTGGTGCAGTGACCAGTCCTAAAACCTGGAAGTGAGTTAGCATTTCACCACTTCCTGTTCCTTCGACAAAAAGCAACGGGATTTCTCCGTAGGGTTTAGGAAAATTTCTGGAAATAAGGTCTGTGGTTGAGACACATTTAAGAGACGGATCACGTTTTGTTCTACGGCATTAAATCCATCAGCAGTGACCCCACTGGTGATTTCTGAAGAGTTGACGTGTCTGAAAAACGATAGTTGTTACCAAGCGGCTGAACAGGACTTCAGAAGTTGTGGAGGCCGTTGTACGTCATTACGCCGAACACGTAAACACTCCTCTACGTTTGTTTTCCCTGTTCTGCTTGAAAGCAAGTCCCTGCCTCCTGCTAACTGTTCAAACAAGCGCTTCAACTTGTACAATGTGGAATCTGTATTTTTGAATATGGATCTGAAGTTGGCGTGACGTTGAAGTCGTGCTGCTGTACTCGGCTGTAGTTCGTTTATAGCATAACGTTAGCATTTTGCTTCTGCCGATTAGATTTATGATTCGAACATTATAAAAGTAGGGTAGACATGTGGAGATTATCCGGCTTATCAAACAGGTCCGTTTTCCACAGACTTTATTTCGAGCTATTTTCCAAAATCCTAATGAGAAATCCCATTGCTTTTTTGTCGAGGGAACCAGCAGCTTACTCCCGGGTAAATACGTCAACCCTGCACCACTCTATTTACATTATTTAATTTCATATTCTGTTCTTGTACATATCATATTCTATTGACATGTTTATACACTTTTTGCACTACTTTTTATTTTATTATATATATATATATAAATATGTTGCATTGTTGGAGGAGCTCAGGTCAGAAGAATTGCATTGTTATTTCTACACTGTTGCTTTGTGCATAACAATAAAACCTTTGAATCTTGAATCCCAGTTATTTATGTGAAATACGTGCGTGTTTGCCCTCACTCTGTGGAAGTCGTGGATTATATCAGCGGGGTCGCTGCCTCCAAAGTGAGGCACGGGCACACTGATCTTCTCGTAGTTTTCGTCCAGGTAGATATCGACATTTTCCTCGAGCTCCAGAAGCCGGCGCAGCTCGCCGTACTCAGGGTCGTCAACATCATAGATCACCCTGCAGAGTTCTGAGTAGTAGCCTAGTTGTGGGTTCTGGACACACAAACACACACAATACATGAGCACGTACCGTTTTCGGATATAATTACCACATGACAAATGTTACGCTAAATTGGGAATGAATAGCCGATAACTCAACCAATGGCTTAGTAGGTCAGGGGTGTCCAAACTTTTTTCACCGATGGGCCACATACAGAAAAATATACGAAGGGCTGGGCCGCTCACTAGAGGTACATCGCCTCATAGGTTCAGTTATAAGTTAGCAAAATCAATCAAATGTCGGTACATGATGCTCGTGTGTGTTGGCAGCTCATCCCTCAGATTGATTATAATAAGGAGAAATATGAAAGGTGTATTTCAAGCTTGTAAATAAGTCATTGGGATTTTTTCTTATCAATTAAGATATGTTAGAAAATGTTTCCAACTTTAATTGACTGCATTTATTTGAAAAGTGGTCTTATTACCACATGAATACTACGGTGTAATATATTTTTACATATATATTTAAGAAGTACAATATAAGACGAGCACAAGTTTCTTTTGTGGGCCATATGCCATTATACTTTTCTAATTAGCTGAGGGCCGATTTAAAATGGTCCGCGAGCCGCATTTGGCCCCCGGGCCGTAGTTTGGACACCCCTGTAGTAGGTCAAAGGAGAACATACAATTTTTTACGACGTACATGTGTCAAATTTATATTGTCAGATTTGCTGAAATGGTGACATTTGTCTAAATATCTAACTGTAAACTTAGAGTGTTCTCGTTCCAAGTTATTTATGTTCAATACACTCGCAGGAACACTGGGAAACACATATGTGGCAGGAATATCTTTCTTTTAGAGCAGTGACTTGAATAACAGGACATACTTTTATTTAGAAATATAGGATTTGATGCAAGGCCCAATCTAAAAAACACAAACAACCAGAGGCAGGAAAAAGATCCTGTACTAAAGAAAAAGTAGATTAACTAACTGTTGGGAAAATACTGAACGTACAGTATCAGAGTAACATGATAAGGTTTCCCAACTGTAGCTGTGTACATGACAGGATGTGTGATTACCTAGAAGAGCATCAGGACTGTTTGAGGCAGATGATAGCTCTGTGATTAACATGAGGATTCAGCCTCTATGGAGAGAGACATCAAGCATGCTCATTTCTGACGTGGAGCTAATCTGAAGTAAACATTGAATCCTGCTTTCTATTCCTCCATCTTGTGACTGTGTAACTCCCTCTCTTGGATGTGAAGGACACTGCTCAGGAACTAGTTGATGCTCTGTATGTGATGACTACTTCCATTCTGGAGAGGATCACACATACATGGATCCTGAGGCTCAAGCCAGTGATTATTAAAAATGTTAAGTATTCAGAAAAAGTGAGAATTTTGATAAAAAGTGAGAATTTTGAGATTTTGATAAAAAGTGAGAATTTTGAGATTTTTATAAAAAAAGTGAGAATTTTGAGAAAAAGTGAGGATTTTGAGAAAAAGGTGAGAATTTTGAGATTGAAAAAAAGCGAGGATTTTGAGATTTTGATAAAAAAAGTGAGAATTTTGAGATTTTGATAAAAAAAGTGAGAATTTTGAGATTTTGATAAAAAAGTGAGAATTTTGAGATTTTGAGAAAAAGTGAGGATTTTGAGGATTTTGAGAAAAAGTGAGGATTTTGAGATTTTGAGAAAAAGTGAGGATTTTGAGAAAAAGTGAGAATTTTGAGAAAAAGTGAGAATTTTGAGAAAAAGTGAGGATTTTGAGAAAAAGGTGAGAATTTTGAGATTGAAAAAAAGTGAGGATTTTGAGATTTTGATAAAAAGTGAGAATTTTGAGAAAAAGTGAGGATTTTGAGAAAAAGGTGAGAATTTTGAGATTGAAAAAAAAGCGAGGATTTTGAGATTTTGATAAAAAAAGTGAGAATTTTGAGATTTTGATAAAAAAGTGAGAATTTTGAGATTTTGAGAAAAAGTGAGGATTTTGAGATTTTGAGAAAAAGTGAGGATTTTGAGAAAAAAGTGAGAATTTTGAGAAAAGTGAGGATTTTGAGAAAAAGGTGAGAATTTTGAGAAAAAAATTTGAATTTCAGATTTTAAGAAAAAGACAGAATTTTTAGAAAAAGTCTGAATGTTGAGATTTTCTGAAAAAACTATTTTGTGACTGTAACTCCCTCTCTTGGATATCAGCATGTGAAGGACACTGCTCAGGAACTAGTTGATGCTCTGTATGTGATGACTACTTCCATTCTGGAGAGGATCACAAATACATGGATCCTGAGATTGAAGCTCAAGCCGGAGACCAGTGATATTTTCCTAACACTAACATTTCGAACTATTGTGCAACCCTAAAGTAGAGTATTGTCACCGCAGGGCTTACATGAGGTATAAAGTAGTAGCGGTAGACATAAATGGAGGCGAGGACCAGACCAGCCATGAACATCACGAGGCCGAACGTCATGCAGCACACACTGTTCAGGGCAGACTTCCTGGGTCGCAGCGGCAGAACCAGATCATCGTCATCCTGGAAAAAAAAACACAGATATAAAATCAGAAATCCTTTGTTCGTCCTAAAGCGGGGACATTTACATTTTCACAGCAAAGGGACAGCACAGAAAACAAGGCAAGAATACGATTAGAAGAGTAGAAGGGTCACATTTTAAAGAAGTCCTATTGTGCTTTTTGGGAGTTTTCTTTCCTGTTGTGTGTAATATGTAGGTTTTTGTGCAAAAGCTCAAATCTGTTTCCTCCAGAGGGAGTTTCTCTCCCCCACACACAAAGAAACAGCCAGTGATGACATGAGTAATAGTATATATTATATATGGCTCCCTATAGAACACAGGATAGAATTTAAAATTCTTCTTCTCGCCTACAAAGCCCTTAATGGGCAGGCGCCATCTTACCTCAAAGAACTCATTATACCCTACTGTCCTACTAGGGCATTGCGTTCCAAGAATGCAGGGTTGTTGGTTGTTCCTAGAGTCTCTAAAAGTACAATGGGAGCCAGAGCCTTTTCTTATCAAGCTCCACATTTGTGGAATCAGCTTCCAGTTTGTGTTCGGGCGGCAGACACCCTATCCGTTTTTAAGAGTGCGCTTAAGACCTTCCTTTTTGATAAAGCTTATAGTTAGGGCTGATTAGATTCAGCCCCTAGTTTTGCTGATATAGGCTTAGTTTGTCGGGGGACATCTTACTTCTTCCTTCTCTCTGTCTATACCTGTGTACTCTCATGTTCCGATTAACCCAGCTTCCCCAAATGTCTTTCTTTTTGGTGTTTATATACGCCGGGATCCGGAGTCATGGATGATCCTGCGCTCCTCTGTCCTGGATCTTGAGTCGTGGCTGTGGTCCTGGATCATAGGTCCTGGATGGATATCCTCGTGGATTCATTTTCCTATTATACACACATGCATTTCCAAACATTTGGACTACCTATGTTGCAAATGTATTATCTTTTCAATTTACACACGGCATCTATTGCACGTCTGTCCGTCCTGGGAGAGGGATCCCTCCTCTGTTGCTCTCCCTGAGGTTTCTCCCATGTTCCCTTTAAACTGTGGGTTTTCTTTGGAAGTTTTTCCTTGTACGATGTGAGGGTCTAAGGACAGAGGGTCTAAGGACAGAGGGTCTAAGGACAGAGGGTGTCGTATTGTCATACTGATATTTTGTACAAACTGTAAAGTCCACTGAGACAAATGTAACATTTGTGATATTGGGCTATATAAATAAACATTGATTGATTGATTGATTGATATTGCCCCACAGGGTTGTTATGGTCAGTATTAGTGTGTGTGTGTGTGATGTCTACCAGGGGCCGTGGATATTGTAAATATACTTCAAATCGACACAGAAAAGCATTTCCAGGCAGCTTCAATCCAATTTCTTTCATACACTCATCTTCACCATGACGAGCCTGTGAAAATGACCCAAATTAACGAATTGCTAAAATAGAAGCCCACACAAAATAGCGGCGCTGCATTTCGAGCAGGAATTAGCAGTGCTGAGCCCAGCCAGAGGCAGGGATGACGGCGCGCTCGAAATAAAAAAACTTGAGTGAGCTGGTGAGTAATCTTCGCAGACGCCTCCAGTCTCGCAGCCCATCTGCTGCTGCCACGCGCCAACATGAGCCGCAGCGTGCCATTCAGATAGTAGCAGCTCACAGGAATAACGGCCCACAGAGGAGTGGCGGGGAAATGTATTTCTCTGCAGAGAAATAACAATGGTTTGCTGTCAGTTTCAGGAAATGAAAGGGGTCAAAGGGCAACAACGCTCAAATAAATCTTAGAATGCCCCTTTAAGAGGCCGTAATATGCTTTTTGGGGGGTTTACCCTTTCCTGTAGTGAGTTATATAGGTTTTAGTGCATGTAAATGGTCTGCAACGGCTAAAATCTGTTCAGAGGGAGTTTGCCCCCCCTCCCTGAAACGCCTCTATTTAACTCCTTTGTTTACTTCCGTAACATCAGTATGGAACACTCGCACTGGCTAGCGCTCCAACACATTGTACGTGATAGGCTAAGGGGGCGGGACATATAAGCCGTTGACCAATCACAGCAGACCAGCTAACCAATCAGAGCAGCTCTGGTTTCAGACAGAGGGTGAAAAGAAGTGGAAAAATAAAGAGCTTTTTGAACATTAACGCATGAAGACATGTCACAGTAGGGGCACAGAATACTAATATGAAACCTATTTCTGCTTTTATATACAAAAGTATGCAATCATCTATATATGTGTTCAATACAAGCTGTATTTATGAGACAGAAGCAGACTGTTCTAACTATTACGAGTCTTTATTTAGCTGCTAATGACTCCATCGCAGCAGCCAGCAAACTGCAGCTGCATCATTTCCTATGCTAGATAAATATAGTAATTACTGTATGCTTTTAAATCTGGGCTCATTTCACGTTATATTCGTGACCCTGAATATTGTTCTTCAGTGTCCTCATTTTTAGACAATGGGGACAAAAGCTGCACCCCAAATATTTGTTTCATTTCTTACGCTGGTTGCTATATTATAGAATATACATGTCTACTCCAAAGGCAATTTGTCTTCAGAAATACATACACTTAAAAGAGAAAACTTCAAAGACCTTCAGCTATTCTTAGTCGGATCTGTAAAAAGCAATATTATTGAGATGATGGGAAACGGTTGTTGTTCTAACCTTCAAAGAGAAATGACAATCCTGTGTGAACACGGTCAAGCAGAATGGCAAAAGGGACACACACACACACACACACAACACACACACACCACACACACACACACACACACACACACACACACACACACACACACACACACACACACACACACACACACACACACACACCACACACACACACACACACCACACACACACACACACACACAAACACACACACACACACACACACACACACACAGCACACACACACACACACACACACTACACACACAACACACACACACACGACACACACACACACACACACACACACACACACACACACACACACACACACACACACACACATCACACACACACACACACACACACACACACACACACACACACACCACACACACACTACACACACACACACACACACACACACCAACACACACACACACCACACACACACACACACACACACACACACACACACACACACACTGAGGCCTGTCCGTCTGGGGATCAAAACATTTCTGGGAACAGATTCCTAAAGTCTGACAGCTCCTCCAGCTCTGTTCTTCCACCATAATCACTTCATTAATGCCTGCCTGCTGTCCTGTCTACAGTCCATCACGTGCAGGGCTCATCGTGTACCTTTGATAAAAGGAGATGCTGGGATGATGCTACAGAAAAGTTAAGGGCTCTGCCTCTTTTAGAGCAGTGCAAAAATAATCTTGCATGCGCTGCAAGCCCCAGATCTGCCATTTTGTCAGCCAAAAAAAAAAAAAACCTTTCATTTCAAGGGGTGTTTTTTTCTTTCGCATTTGAACCTGCAATGAAGGAAGTCATCAGACACCATGCCAATTATAGAACAAATACAATAAAAAACGAATAATTTACATTGTTAAACAGCTTCTAATCCTCTATTCAGTCCTGAACAAAGAACATGCAATTGCACATTCACAACTTGCATAATAAAACATGCAATTATCGTAGTGGCGCAGAGCAGGGCCATGTTTTGTTTGCAACCCAAATGGCGATGGGTGCTGTCAGAGAGACCCTGCTGCTCGTGGAGGCGCAGAACAACTGCAGCAGGATCACATTACACAGGGGATCATATCACACAAAGACGACACATGCATTTTGATATAAGAATAATGGCATTAAGAGGTGCGTTTACCCACCATCGGATGCGGGATGAGTATTTCTGTCTTGTCGCCATCATGGTCCTCCTTGTCCAGTTTCTGTCCCGCCACAGGCTGGAAGCTGATCTTCCCCATGGCTCCGAGTCTCTGCAGGATGTGTGGAAGCCTCTCTGCACAAAAGTCTCTGTGATCGTCCTCTGCTGTGCTGCTCCTCTGTTTTTGTCTGTAGAAACCGGAAGTGTGCGCTTTTCCCCCCTGCCCTTAAAGGACTAGTGCGCAGCTGTTTACTGTCAAGAGGACAAGCTCAGGTTGTGCCAGATCTCCTTTAACCCTGGTTGTGGGTCAAGTTGGATTTGATCTAGAATAATAATAATAATGCAAGCAGTGGCAGTTCTAGTGTTACTAGAGGTGCACTGGAGAGGCGGTTCTTACGCACTTACTATAACTTTTATAGGCCATAAAGTTGACACTTCCTGGGTTGTAAAAACTGTAAAAATACTGGAAAAGCGCCATATAAATGCAGCACATTTACTACATGTTGCCCTCTGTAAGGAGTACTTCTGCACACGTGATGAGATTTAGCGGCACGTGTGAATTTTCTTAACTGTTTTGGAGTTCTAAGAAAAAAGTCACAATAAGAATTGTTTTTTTAGATTCTTTCATTTTTTAAAGAATGATATCAGTTTGTCATTTATCCTTACTTTTTTCCCTCAGAAATCTGACATTCTTCACAATTCTGACTTATTTTTCTCAAAAATCTGACTTTTCTTTGTGAATCCTGTCAGAATTTTATCTTTTTATTCAGAATTCAGATTTCTTTCACCTAAATCAGATTTTCTCAGATTTCTTATCATGTCATGTGGTCTTAATCCTCTTCCGAATAAGTGCTTTTATTATTTTAAAATAAAGAGTCTTGTTCATTGTGCTGCTATAGTACTCTAGTACTATAATGTGAGCATTAGCGGTGAGCACTCTAATGTTGCCACACATTTCTGTACACAGGACGACAATGACCACAGCATTATTTTATTCCAAATGTTTTTTTTGTTCTTTATTTTGTTTGTAGGCCTTTGACACTTCCGAACGCACCCACACGCTCTCTGCTGAAACTGGCCTCAACATACAGCAGAAAGTTTAGTTTGACATTTTAATGTTAAATACTAGGAAAAAAGAAACAATTCCAGTACAACATCTTTTAGTACAGCATCATGCACAGCCAGTGGAGGAGCATGCATGTTCGATGCGGATGGAGGGACTTCCGGCTCTGAGTATCGCACGGATATTTCCTTACTTGCATGTATTCACTTTTAATGACATGCTGTTAATGAACACATCTGCCGTTTCCACCATCGGGACAATCCAGCATGCCCAGATTAGTCCGCTAGTCACGATGCTTTACACTAAAACCTGTACTGGAATTATGAACCCTCTGAAAAGAAAGGCTCAACGTGAGGAGAAGGGGGAAAAGTAAGAATGGTGCTGACGAGTTCACCCCTGAAACACTCTCTGTGGGGCTCGCTGCTCTCCCAGGCCAGAAGCAAAGTGGGTGAGAGTATCAAGTTAATGAAATAGAGGAAGGGGGTGAATCCCCTCGACTCCGCTCAGCACCTCACAAAGTGCACAGCTTTAATGTTTCAGTTAATGCTCCCCCAAACCCCTCCCTCCCCTCTTCTACACATTTTCAGCAATCTGAGAGATACTCAAAATGTAGACGGGAGAATAAAACACATCCAGAGCTAATACCATGACATCCTATAGGTTAGCTAAATGTGAGCCTGTATGCACAAATAAACCCAACGGCAACCATTTCAGCAGTAAAATGTAAAACAATGTCACTTAACTTCTTTTTGTATAGTTTAGAAAGTAATAAGATTACAATTAACCAACAACGGGATGTTTAAGGTAATATATATATAATATATATTCATATGTCAAGGTTAAACACAAATCTACAGAGCAAAAAAGGCATATGTACACGATCAACCTTTCCCAGAAAAACCCAACTCTGGGGGCTTCACTGAATCCACACCTTTACACCCCCCCCTCCTCCTCCTCCTCCTCATCATCATGTGCTTTAGGTGCTGTAAGAAAGCACACAGGAGGTCAATGGTTCTGTGATGGCATCTGAATCGCTGAAAATGAACCACCGTGTCTTTATTGGATGAAGGCATAGATGTGAGTGTGGCGCTGAACATGAGCATCAGAGCGCGCTGGGTACAGCCATGTCACATTTCAAGGCATGCAACCAACACACCAAATGTTCAACTCGTACCATTTCCATCACAAGGTCTTAGCTGATATTCTTGCATTATGTGTGTATGCATGTTTTGTTTTTAATGTAATACATATGTGTGTAAAACTGTGTGTCAGGAAGTCTGCCTAACTGTGAGTGCACGGACATTTTCTGTCACACTATGTTCGATGGACTTCGTTCATCATAATATACCTAACATGTCTCAATGTGCAAGAAAGAAAAGCAGCAGCAGCAGCATCTATTATTTTCTCTTATTTCTTTTGAAGGAAAAATACTTTAAAAATAAGTAAATAAAAGTTCACGGAGGAGCTGTCGACTTCCTGATGAGTTGATGTGGGTGCGTTGTTCCCTCTTGTTCAGAAACCGGCTGCTGATGGGTCCGTTAAGCAGACTGTCCGGATGTTTCCTTCCCCCCCCCCCCTCACCCCACCTCTACAGCCTTTTCCTCAGGCCTCCTGGGGGGCCGGCCTCTTCAGGTCCCGGATCTGTTTGACCAGGTAAGTCTTTCATCGTTGAACTGTTCGTCCTCCGTCTGTCGTTCTGGAACTTGCTGAGGAACTCGATGAGTTTGGTTTGGTTCTTCAGCAGGATGTCCAGGATGGGCTGCGTCTTGTTGGGGTTCGCAACAAACACCTGGTAGTTTAGGCAGGGGGGGGGTAAGGATGTTAATATGTGAAGATAATGTACATCTGTGATATGGTTTAAAAACGGTTGTCTTTAATGTTTACCTTAAAAACGTGGAAAGCCTCAAACTGGATGTTGCGGCTCTTGTCTCGTAGCAGGTTCATCATTAATTTGAGATTCTCTGGCCTGCTGATGTATTTCGTCATTATGGTGAAATTGTGTCGGTCAAGAAGCAACTCGCCCAGTAACTAGATGGTTTCAGAGTGAGAAACAGAATATAAATACAGGGTATATGCAGGAATCCTGAAGTCAAATGTAACACCTTTTAAGACCCTTTCCATACATGTTAAGACCTCATCGCCACTTGGAGTTCTAACCGGTTACCTTGGCGACACACTTTACCTCACATTGACTATACACAGTATTGATTGTCCTTCCTCCTTATCTTCCAACCATTTGGACGCTAACTTGCATTTCCCATAACGATGTTGCTTAGCAACCGGCGTAAACGGACCTTCGCGCGCTATCAAGCAATGAGCGTGCGATGTCCTGTTCAGATGACGTCAAACCCAACGGGATGCCATCAATAAACTACACAGAATCACACTACACACCTACGCAATGATTACATTCAGGCAGACTGTAGAATACAACCTCTTTGGACCATTTATATACTTATTGAAAACAAGCTACAAATGTTTAATGTTTAATAGCTTTCATTTTCGCTAAATCGATCAACTTTTAATACTTTTTACGACCCCGCGGACACCCTGATTTAACCTCGGCCAAATGGAACAGGCTTATTGCTTTAAGGTCCAATCTAAAATATAGTTAAGAACCAACATGATGAGTTAGTCCAAATAGTCCTTTATAACATCTGAAAACATAGGTACCTCACACAACTACTGTTATCAACCTTAAACTGAACCAAAATCTGAGTTTATATTAAAAACTTGAAAGAGATGGCTGGTTTCAATTGACGGTAATAATCAGGGTTCATACACTTTTTCACCCAATGATTTTCAATGACTTTTACCTAATTTTTCCAGGACCAAAAAGTGACTCTTTCTCAGCGGTACCACTGAAAATGGTTTATTTTTAACATGGAACAGGAAAATAAGGTCTGCATATGAAACATGTTGTGCCTATCTAAAACAAATCCAATAGTAGGCTAACCAGCTACACGCTAAAGCAACTACAATCTCTCACCAGCAAAATACTTCATCAGTTAAATGCCATTTTACGTTTCATTACTATACGATGAGTATTTATTATCATTATAGTATTACTATTTCGGCAATTAGATAAAATATAAATTATATTTGATGCAACCTTTTCCATGACTTTTCCAAAACTTTGGGAAAAATATTGTTTTCCAAAACTTTTCCAGGGCCTGGAATTAGCATTTTGAATTTCCATGACTTTTCCAGGTTTTTAATGACCCTAAGAACCCTGAATAATGTGTCTGTTTGTTTTAATTTTAATACAAATAAGTGACTCTGAGCTACACAATGCATGTTATTCAGCCTATGATAAAGAAAGCAATCAATGTATTTATAAAATACAAGTGATGAGCACCCGATGTTTAAGGAGCTTCAGAGCAAACCTATAAAGCGCTTCCACCACTAGATGGCGGTCTCGTGAAGGAGCTGGAGGTGGAATGGTTTTAGAGAAACCAAACACTGTGACCGTCTTTAAATAGATTTCTGAAAACACTACATGAGACATGTTTACAGGCACGACACGCACACCCCTTACCTTGAGGGACTGCCTTTTAGTCACGTAGTTTTCAGAGTGGAGTAACTTCTCATATTCACTGAAGAACTAGACAGAAAGGAAGAGGGAGTCAGAGAGAGAAGACAGGGAAAATAGAGGTGGTCAAGAAGCTGTTTTTTTATAATTGTATTCATGTCTTGTATCAAAAACACAATGCCTGCAAATGATGCACCTCACAGCTGATTTAGCGATGTGAGGAAAGAGACTTCCAGGTTTATTTTACATGTAACAAAGAAAACACTTTACTCCATTGAGTAATCTACAACATGTTGGTTTCCACTTCAAGGCAAGTGCATGTTGCAATAAAGCAGCACCTCTTGTATCGTTTAATGAAGAATAAACACGTCACTCTTGCTGTCATGCATATTTTGTGACAAACTCTATGTTTTTAAAGATAATACCTTAAAGGTCACCTATCAGGCTATTTTTAGGCAATAGCATAGGTCTCTCAGATATATAAAAATATATAAAACACATGTCTATGAAGTGTTTTGCTCAAAATACCAAACAGATCATTCTAGCCATGCCTCAAATCCCTCTATTTTACTTCCTGTTTCAAAAGTGCTGATTTGGGGAATACAGTTTTAAAGAGGAGGGGTCTGAGCTCATGCGGGACCCGGCAGCTACTGTCTAAACTAAATGCTGCCGTGATGAAACGCCATATCATGGATTATCAAGGATCTGAAACAGTCTGGAGCTCAAAGGCTTTTTCTCTTGCCGGTTATACCACAAGGTGAGTCCCTTTTTACTTCCTGCTTCTTCACACACATGCTCTCCAGTACAGGTTAGCTCTGAGTGTTAGCGATGCTAATGTAAACACCGACCATATTACGTACAAAACAGTCGGGCATTGTTTCTGATAGCAACGTTTCTGATTGGGCCGTGGGTCCACATTTCAGATATTACGTCATATCGAACGCAAATCTGGATCAGCTCCGTTGTTCCCCCGTTTTTAGAGATTTGGGTACGGAGGAAAAGAGAGAGGGTTTTATTTCCTGACGCTGCGTGAGTTCCCCGACACACCGGGGGACACATGTTGATGTATAAAAGACATCAAAACGTGCATTTTGCATGATAGGTCCCCTTTAAGGTCTGAATGTTGACTTCTTCTTAATTAGCTCTCATGAGTGGACATGGGATCTCAGTGGAGTGAGGACTTACTCTGTCATAATGTTGCTCCAGAAACTCTGCACTCAGTAGCTTGTGTCTTGTGAGGAGGTCCTGCAAATAGAAAATGCAAAATATGAGGGAAAAAGAACAGATGTAATGATTATCACTTGGGCTATTAGTCTAATTAATCTTTTGGACTCTGAAGGTAAAACAAACTGAAATAATCCATTGATTCAAATGAGTTGAAACCCACGACTTGCTGTGGGTTGAAGAGCTTTGGGAAAAAATGGTAAAAGTTGAAAGGAGTCGCAGAGGTTTTAACATCTTACTTTGAAAAGTGGCGAATGCGTCCGAGGCGATGTCGAAGGTGGACATCTCCACGTATCTGAAGAAGTCGTAGAACTGCTCCTGACCACAGCGTGATTTTGGCCAGCGGTTCATGTCTGATGCACTCCCTCAACATGATGCCGCAGTTTAGGGCGATCTCGGGAGACTCAGACCGGCACAGAGAAGCAACACAGTCAGAACAGGGAACACCACACACAAACACACACACCCACACACACACACACACCACACCACACCCACACACCACACACACACACACACACACACACACACACACACACACACACACACACACACACACACACACACACACACACACACACATCACACACACACACACACACACACCACACACACAACACACACACCACACACACACACACACACACACACACCACACACACACACACACACACACACACACACACACACACACACACCACACACACACACACACACACACACATACACACACCACCCACACACACACACCACACACACACACACACACAACACACAACACACACACACACACACACACACACACCCACAATGTGTGTTGTTAATATACAGACAACTGATAGCAGATACAGATTTAAAAAAATAAGGAGGCAAGACAGAGAGCTATCAAACAAAAAAAACACATTTTCCTATGCTAGGAATTTCCTAATCAAGCAATTCCACTCAGAAAAGTGCTCGATTATTGAACAAGAAGGACACCAATCGTGTACATTGTGATTTTACGAGTCACAGCCGACAGGCACGTCAGTCCAGGATGAGAATCTGTAATCTGCAGCTTTAATGTTTTCAAGCAACACGTACACTTTACCCTTTGAGCAACATGAAGAGGATATTCTGCTGGGTGCAACAGGTACTCACCGTGGGCGTCCGGGTGCCAATCTGACGCCGCAGGATGTTGTTGAAGATCTGAGCCACGTCTTTCTTACCCTGGAGGAAATAGACAAAGCAAACATCAAGACGTGGTGAAGCAGCAGTTCATTTATGCAATACAGAAAAAAAACATACTTCCAAAGAGAATGCAATCAGGAGATAGAGAAACTTATGGCGCGTTTCCACTGCAGGCCTCGCTCGGCCTCGCTCGGCCTCGCTCGGTTTGGTTAGGCCTTATTAGGCCCGGCTCACTTTAATGCTGCGCTTCCATTACAGTTTAGGAACTGGGGCAGTTACTATAGTAACGCAGTGTAGGCGGAGCCGTGACGTCATCTTCAATGAGAGCCCCAGAAAAACAACACAGCCGTTAGCTCTTAGCACTCAGAGCTCACAGCTCCTCATATCTGTTCAGAAACTTGACAGAAGTTAAACATGTACAAACCACAGACTGCCTGTGTCATGGTGAATACAGTCGCTGGTTTATTTATGTCTGTATAGGCCGTTGTTGTGAGTGTGGACGGTCGGAGCATATATAACGTTAGCTTAGCCAATCTCCATTTAGAAAACATGCATTTTAAAAAGGGTTTTTCTCCTGCCGTCTGTCTGCAGACTTGTCAAAGCATTAATTCATGGTTTTTGCTAACCGGTATCAGTATGTTGTTAATTCGGCATCATTTTGAAACGTGTATTACAATTAAATCACAGTCAAATATGTTCATCTTGTTGTAGTTGTAGCCCCCTTGCCAGCGATTCTCTCTCTAGTTTAGCATACTCAGCCCGACTAAGCCTGGTTGTTCCTGGCCCTAGAACCACGATTTTATGGGGCCAGAAAAACTGTGAATTAGGACCCGCTAGCCGGTACTAGGCCAAGTGAAAACGCAACCAAAAACGGGCCCCGCACGGCTCGGCACGCTTAAAGCGAGCTACCCGCTGCAGTGGAAACGCGCCATTAGAGAGCCAACATGCAGTTCTTAAAACAATGTATACTGTTTTATTTGATACACGATTTGGAAGAAAATAACATATTGCTATTATTTTGAGTCGTATTGCAATTGAGATCGAGGATGGATAGATTGCTTTTGCATAATTGAAAATATATAACGAAGGGATCATAGCTTGATATTTCGGTGTCTTTACCAAAGAAAGATTTTTTATTAAATCTGTAAAATGTCGTTTTGTGGGCCAGGACATCCATGCAGCACCACTTTATTTAAATATTTGAATTCAGGTTTAGCAACATTATTTCATAGGCTTTTATTATTTTAATTTTTTTTCTTCTTGATTTTCGATTTTATTAATCTGTGTGAATCTTTGCTGTCCTGTTTGTTCACGCTTACTGAATTTCCCCTCTGGGATTAATAAAGGTTCATCTTATCTTATTAGACAACATTACGATTCATTTTCAGCCCTTAACGTGATAGGTGTGTTAAAAGCTGATCAATTAAATCAATTACAGATAATTAAAGGAAAATAGCCGTTCTTATTCGCTCTTAAAATAAAGATTTTGACAAACAGCTTCCAATAAAAGTCATCATACCGACAAACCCACTGCATGCTCCCATCAGAGAACACGTTTCTAAAAATCCCTGTCGTATTTATATGATTTTCCAATTGAGGCAGGAGGAGGGTAGATGAGGAAGATGATCACACACACAGTGAGTCATGCTGAGAGAGTGAGTCAGGTAACACTGCAGCAGCAGCAGCAGCAGTGTGACATATTGCAGGGAGACGAGAGTTTGCCCACAGAGAGAGAGAGGGAGATGACGTGGACATGCATCCCTTTTTCATGTTGATACGACAGCCCCACCTAGTGTCAGCAGAAAGTATTAAAAATAATGATTACAACAAAATGCAAAAAAATTAAAAAATATATAAAATATATTTTAAGTAGGGATGCACGATAATTATCGGCCCGATAATTATCGGTCCGATATTAGGTATTATGACGTCATCCCGATAAACCCGATACCAGTATTAATAGCCCCGATAATATACAATATATTTTTTGGGTAAAAAAAAAGAAAAAAATACTGCAGTGTGGGTGGATTGGGATGAGGGGCGCTTGTTTTTCACTCGGCTCCTCCCGTTTTGCCAGTACTGTGGTATTAGTGGTTTAGGAAGAGGGGAGTTTTTCACAAATCCAGCGCTCCCTAACTCGGGCGTTGGAGCTATGTGCAACTCAAGGCATATGCTCGAACCGGAGCTGCCTGGACGCTGCAATCATGTTGCGCACTATCCGTGCCGAGTGTGCTGACTTTTCGTACAATGTCCCACTGTCTGGCTTCCTGCATAAAGTCAAGTGCTCGGCGCAGTTGTGGCGAAATGTCGCTCCTCTGCTTTCATTTAAACAGCTCCTTAAGGTCTCTCTCTCGCTCGGGCCACACATACACACACCCTCCCGGTCCTCCAGATGGCCAGTCGGTGCCTGCCGGTGAGCGTGGAAGTGTGGTCTGCCACAAGCGGGCGGCAGGAGCGGGGCTGTCAGCATCAGCTAGTAGACGGTATTTTAAACTCGATGCGCTCTGAAACTACGGGGCGGCCGAGGACAAAAAATACACACGCGTTAATTGCGTTAAAAAAATTAGTGGCGTACATTTTTTTTATTATCGGTATCGGTCTTGAGAAGCAGGAAGTTATCGGTATCGGTATCGGTTTCAAAAAAACAATATCGTGCATCCCTAATTTTAAGATCATGTTTAATCATCTGATTCGTCTGTATATTGCTGTGTTAGTCTGTGTTCTTCTAATTAGTGTCTACAGTGTGTGCCTATTGAGCTGTTTTGAGCCATGTGGGACAAAACCCGATCCTGCCCCTCCCTCTCACTGTCTAAGTGAACGGTGACTGTAAAAACTACACTGCGCATGCTCAGAGTATTTTCCTATTTAATGTGTGTGGCAAAAAAATAATGACCATAGGGGCATAGAGCTGCCATCCCCACCATACGTCATCTCACATCATTCAGAGCTGATTGACTGTAAGTACGTGTGCCGCGAAAAGTGTGGTGTGTGAAGAGGAGACGAGAGAGCTGCAGTGAGGCGTCCTAAAACCCGGAAGTAAGCTGCGCATGGCTTCCCTCGACAAAAAAGCAATGATATTTCTCCATAGGATTTTAGAAAATAGCTCAAAATAAGATCTGTGGGAAACAAACCTGTTAGATAAATGCACGTTTTGTTCAGCCGGATAATATCCACATGACCCTACTTTTATAATTTTCTAATCATAAATCTATTGATTAGATTAGATTTATGATAGACTTTTGAAACTACAAGAAGATAAGGAGGACTTTTACAAAAAAGTAATAGAGATTTTTGTCCAGAAGGATAGGCCAATGGACTTCATCTTCAAGTCAAGGTAAGACTGCAATTTTATTGAAAATGGGATCTTACTAAGAGAGAACAACTCAATATTTAAATGATAAAATTACATTTTTTGGGGATCCTTCTGTTGAACTGTCTGTTTTAATTAATTGAAGCATCAGACAAAAAAAGCTTTTGAAAATAATATTATATTTTGATTTAGGTCAAAATATAATATTTGTAAACCTGAAGAGTCAGAGCCTCACCAGCCATGAACCTCACTGCAGAAGCTTATAGACATCTAAGTTTTTTTGTGCTCCACCACTTTTGTACATATAAAAACGCCACTGTCCACATGTCCTACTTTTATAATCATAAATCTAATCGCCAGAAGCAAAATGCTAACGTTATGCTAAATAGTGCTTGTAGCGACGCGTCGACGACGTCGACTTCAAAATATCGTCGACGACATATTTCCGCGTCGACGCGTCGCTACACACACGTGGGTCACCCAAAGCAACAAGCAGTTCGCAACTCGCACTTCAAACACAATGGAGACTGAAACGGCTACCACCTCCTCCTCACAGGATTGCGCACGAAGCCCCCAACGAAAACACTCTCGCCCTAGGTCTTCAAAAGCATGGGAATATTTTAAAGTTAGTCCAAACGCAAGATATTTATATATTTATATCTCACTGAGACTGCTGCATAGCCTAGCAGAAGCAGCAGCTAGCTGTGGTGGCTACCATTAGCAGCTAGCATTTGCTCTCCTTTTTTTACATAAAATGGAATTATGGATTATAAATTCAATCATTTTTTTATACATAGACGTTAAAAACCTATGGATTAACCGATTCAGCCGCGTTTTTTCTCATTTTATTGCCATTGAACACGTCTTTTGATCAGATTACGGTGGTGAGACGATCTCCCGAGAAGCTCTGTGAAGGTACGTGTTGTGATGACTGTATTTGCTTCCCCTGTCGCGAGTCCGGATCACTCAGTGATGATACTATGTACCTACATAATCTGTGGAGTCTCAGCTTTAATCGGATATATTGTATGTGCAGCTACGATAAGTAATAAGGGTACTTTTATCTTGAGTTCTGTGCCAATGTCCGTTAGCATTTTTCGCACAGGGGTCATTTAGATGCTTCTTATGAGACTTGTGTTTTGTTTTGGTAAACATGGTTTGTATCGTCAGTTAGCTGAGATTATTTCCGTTAATCTGGTATAACACATTAATAGGTTCTTAAATATTAAGATCGTCTGAGACACAGTATCGTGAAAACATTTTTTTTTACATTACGTTTTTTTTACATTACGTTTTTTATGAATTGAACAACAGAAAAATAATCGTTAGATTAGTCGACTAATCGATCAAATAATCGCCCGATTAATCGTTTTCAAAATAATCGTTTCCCCCCAGCACTAATGCTAAAGGAACTACAGTCGAGTACAGCAGCACGACTTCAACATCACACCAACTAAAAGGTGGGGTAGGTAATTCACTTCAGAAACACTTTGTTATATTCCATGGAATGCTCTTAACACCCCGATAGCAATGAATACATGAAATGCTTTGACAATAAATACATACAAATATTTCATCTGTGGAAGCCGTGGCGCTGTAAAAAGCACGACCAATCATCTGAGCCGGCCCGGCTAAAGTAACTGGATGGCCTACCTGCCTGTCAGCCTTCCATCTGGGCACAAACTTATCTCGTGCCCTCATTGGTCATGTGCGCGTTCGTGTGTGTTGGAGGAGGGGCTCTGTAAGGAAGTCTGAAGGAAGGGGCAGATTTTTTCCGGTTGTGTATTTTCAAATTCTAGCGCACTCGAGCTGGTTTCTCCATTCTTACCTCCCCTACCTTTAACACTAGAACCGCCAACGGGTACATTTTAGGAAGTGGTAAAATGCTGACTCACTTCCTGGTTTTAAGACTCGTCACTGCACCACTCTATATCAATCAGTTTACATTATGTATAAAGCCCAAATTACACTTTGTCTCCGGGGGCTTTACAGTGTCTTCAACATGCACCACCCTTTGTTTATAAACCCCTCAGCAGCGGACAAGAAAGAATCCCCCCCCCCCAAAAAAATGACAATAAACGGGGGGAAAATGTAAGAAACCTTGGGGAGAGCAACCAGAAGGACAGACTTGCAATAGATGTTATAAAATAAATAAAATCACAACATAGACAATCCAAATGACCAAAATGAAAACGTATTAAACATTCATTTGATATTTCTCTCCCTTTCTCTTACGAAATATCACAAACTCTCACCTCAAATTCGATGAGCTGCAGGTCTGCTACGAGGGTGCTGAGCAGGCCGCTGTTGTAGAGCTCCTGAGCGAGCTGAGCCACTGCCTCCGTCTGGGGCTCCTCTCATTCGTCCCATACAGGATCTCCTTCATGGCCACCAGGCTCTTTGACACCCTCCTCTGTGGCCTGAATGCGATATGATAACATTTTATTTTCAGGTCAAGTCTGTCCTTTTACCTGAATGACAGCAGCTCCATTTGAAACATCGACAAGAACAAATATTAAAGCAAGAAACCAGTAAACCAAGTACTTTGCCGTACTTAGTTCCCAGCACTTAGTTCCCAGCACTTAGTTCCCCCATGGAACTAAGAGCCGATCGTGTTCACACCGGAATAAGTCCCTGGGGGAGGATTAGGCAAATGAAGCCGATGACGTCACTTCTTCTTCTTCTGCTTTGGGTTTACTGGCAGGCCGCAAACCACTTCACGGCACTTCACGGCTTATACTGCCGCCCAAAGTCCCCGGCGGGGTAAATCGCCAGAACACCGACACCTCCTCATCTCCACCGCTCCCATGTTTTCTTTTGTGTTGCCATAAGTTAGTCTCTCTGCGTTGGTGCGCGGGGCTAATGCTAATAATGCTAATAATGCTAATGCCAGCAAATACAATGGCGGCTTCACAAAACTTTTCAGAGTTTTATGGGGCGTGGTTTGCAATTCGCCCAGCCAATCAGAAGTTGGAACTTTTTTCTCCCCAGGATATCACCACCTCTCTAGCAGGCACTAAAAAGGGGGGAAAAGTTCTCTGAACTAAGTTCTCTTTTTGGTGTGAACGCAAAATCCCAGGTACTATCGGAACTAAACGGGAAAAGTACTCCGGTGTGAAAGCGCCTATTTAACATGATATTAAAATCTCTGAAGACCCTTTAATGCTCCTGTGTGTTTTTATTTTATTCTATTTGTATCCTATGTGTTATTGTGTTTGTAGCACTTCTTAACACGTGGCTTGTGTGGTCATTTATTATGTTATGATTCCTATGATGTTTTGTCAAGCACTTTGTGACTGTCTGTGAAAAGCGCTTTATAAATAAAGGTTACTTACTAATGTACATTTGACCTGCGATTCACCGTGTATTTAATATAGGCATAGGGTGACTGGTGGACAGAACAATCTAACTTTCTTAAATCAAAGGGTTGACCTACAATCTTTGAGCAGACGTTCAATTGGTGGAGCAGCTTTGACATTAAAGCAGTGGAAAAACACAACCATTAACACATTGACTCGTTTTCTTAAGTGGCATTATAGTGCTCTTACAGAACTAGTTTTATAGTGCTGGTTAACGGTCAGGCAGAGATCCACGTATGCTTTATGAATTTGATCAGAACTGTAAAAGTGACTCATCCACCAAAGATATTATGGTTGTTTTTACTCGGTGTGATCATCACAACTATCAAACACGGCACGCAACAGGAAGACAGCTCCTGTTGCCCAACGTGAAAACAAATATGACGCAAAAAAACACTGCCATGGGGAACGTGTATATTGTTCAAGAGAATAATTCAGTTCAAACTCTTATTTATTTCAGACACTAATAATTAAACTGTGTCTCTGTATAGTTACACTATGAACTATGAGTTATATTGTGAGAAACATAATGAAAACAAGGGTGTGGTAGAAAAACTCCCTTTTATTGTATTATTTTTGACACCTTTTTTCCTTGGAGTTTATCGTGTTATTTTAGTAGTCAATTTTTTTTATTTGACCTTTATAGGTACATCCTTTGTTGAGGAATAGTTAGATTTTTTTATTTCATGTTGGGCCCAAGGAGGAATAGCCAATGCTAATTCTACTGCTAACAGGTACCCTAATAAAGACAAAAGGCGCTTTCACACCAAGTACTTTGCCGTACTTAGTTCATCAGAACTCTTTAGATCTGATGAACTAAAGAGCTGATCGCGTTCACACCGGAATAAATCCATGAGGGAAGATTACGCAAATGAAGCCGCTGACGTCTTCTTCTTCTGCTGCTTTGGGTTTACTGGCAGGCCGCAAACCACTTCACGGCGTATCGCCCAAAGTCCCCGGCCGGAAGTCCCCCGGAGTTAGGGACTGCCTTCCGAGTAAATCACCAGAACGCCGACACCTCCTCATCTCCACCGCTCCCATGTTTTATTTTGTGTTGCCATAAGTTAGTCTCTCTGCGTTGGTGCGCGGGGCTAATGCTAATGCTAATAATGCGAGGATAATAAAATGGGAACCTTTTTCTCCCATGAAAGTACCTGCTCTCTAGCAAGGACTGAAAAGGGGGTGAAAAGATTCTCATGAACTAAGTTCTAGTTCCAGATTTATTTGGTGTGAACGCACATTTTCGAACTATATCGGAACTATACTGGGAAAAGCACTCCGGTGTGAAAGCGCCTAATGAAGGAATAGCCAATGCTAATTCTACTGCTAACAGGTATCCTAATAAAGCCAAAGAGTGATGAGGTGATAAATCCTATGAGTTTAAGGTGAATTTGTGCGAGATTCGCCCTACCTTTTCGGCTTTTTTGTCGGATATATCGTGCTTCTCGAGCACCGTCATGCTGTCCTTGAGGTTTTTGACGATGTCCGCCGGCGACTTGTGGGACTTGCCAAAGGGGAACGGCATGGCGGAGCGTTACCACGAGCAACCAGGCAGCGGACTGTCCACCTGAGGGAGGAAACGTACAAATTGATCAGAGCTTTTTATACGAATCAGAATCCCTTTATTGTTCGTCCCACAGAGAGGAAATGTACAACGTTACAGCAAAAGTGAAGACAGAGACACAAAATAAAAGCACTATTAGATAAAGGGTATGCAAATAATATTATAAATTAAGTTACATTCGCTGCTATGGACAGGGTTAGAGTTAATGGACATTCCCAAAGATATGGAAGCGACTGTTATGTTGTTGATTGTTGTGTTTTTTTATCTTAATGTGTGCATACGTGTAAATGTGTCTGTTGATTGTGTATATATACAGGATATACATATTTTATATATATTTGTATTTTTGTATTCGGGATTGTGGGAAATTTCGATTTCTCTGTCTGTGCACACAAACTGAAAGATTGACAATAAAGTTGACTTTGACAATACATGTACCCAATATTGCACAACAGTGTTATTGCACAACAGTGGTGTCGTAGTCTGTGTTTTTTGTTTTGCATTATTGCACATTGGTGTGATCTCACAACATATGGAGTGAATGCTTAAGAGAGAACTGAACAGCACAGAAGGGTCAGACCTACATTAATGTACGGCAACACGGTCCCAGTGTTTCCAGGCAATATCTTTGTTATACTTTAAGCTCAAGCTTGGCGTAGCTCAATCTCACAAGCAGCTATAAAGAAAGCTCAGAAATAGATGGTGTAGTCGGTGAAGATTACAGACATACAGCCAGTGACTCACAAATGATTCAGAAGTTATTGTCATGCAGACGTTGCAATGACGTGCAAGTCTGGACAAAGGCTGAACAGTCGATACAACACGTCCAACATGAGCTACACCTATCAAATAATACATTTGAAAACAGCAGCGTGGTTGGATGTTACAACTGTACGACTGAAATGATTTGCATGTTAAAAAAAGTCATTTAACCACAATTATCTTTTTAAATCGGGAATTCTTTTTTCACTAATTTCTCAATTAAGCTACCTGTCACTCACTGCTCACTGTAAGACGAGTCATCACTGTTAAATATTATTGAATACTCTCATCTCACGTCTATTTTTTCTTCTTCCATGATACTTCCTTCACTTTTTAAATCAAGTTCACTTTCTACCACGATAGCAAGATGGACAGATTACTTTTTATGATATGGTCAACGTGCTTCTTACTAGATAGCACTTATATACAGATAACTATGGTAATAAGTGCTAATTATCCGATCAGTATTGTGACGTAATGTTTCATTCCTAGCCCAAGTGTAGTGTCAAAAATAACCGCAGATCCAGTGAGAGAAGAAGGAAGTAGTGTTGGAGCCTATCCCCGAAAAAATATGTCGTTAGTGTTCCTCTTTCAGACCTATTTTTGCCCTGGCTTCCCACTGAAATGCACATGAACAACCTGCTGTTAAACATATACTAGCCCCTAAAGCGAAACAGTGGGCTAACCCTGATTAAAAGATCCATTGCTGGAATTGAATATCATTAAATTGGCCAGGTTGAATATATAAAAACACACTGGCAGAAAGACGATGCATTTACGCAACTTGAGTAAACGTTATATATCTCGGTATGACCTTTAATGCTTCATGAGTCAGCGGTGATGTTGTGAATAATCTGGTCATCGTCAGTGAATGATTAACCAAGCGTTGTTTACCATGACATAGCTTCAGACCTTTGTTTGACCCTCTCCCTGCAAAGTGAGGTAAACAACACCTCCCCACGTTACTAAATATATACAGTACGTTCTCAGGTAACGTATTTAGGGCAGTAAACTCCTCCGTTAATAAAACACAACAAAACGTGTGAAAACTGAACCACAGAGATCAAATCTCACTGCGTTACTTAACAAGGACCCTTATCTACTGTACACAACTCCCTGACCCACCCAGCGGACCAACTTACAAACTATGGAGCAAAAGGCAAGGTTTTTGAACAGACAAAGAAAAAGTCGGGTGATAAAGCTAGAGGATATCAACACAGCAGCCTATATTTTATTTGCTCAAATACTAGGTTATAAATAATGACTATATTGCCTATACCGAGAATTCAAGAAACACATCAATACAACTTTTGATTTAAACTTAGAGCTCAACTAATGTAAGGAAAATATGGCAGGAAAAAAATGCTGTTTTCAGCTTTCAAATATGATTCGCTGCTTTTCAATGTTATTATATTTAGGTTAATATCTTTGAGTTTTGGAATGACGGAGCAAGACCTTGGATTCTGTAAAACTGGGATCAACATCTGACAATTTATAGATCAAACAATTCATCTGTAAAATAAATCATTTAAAATGTAAATAAAGTAGCAGCCCTAATCCCAATATCATGATCATTTCAGCCAAGAATGTATTTAATTCCAATATGCTCCTCTGACATGTTTCCAAGATGGAGGGCTATTGAGGTTTAACACACACACTATTAATTAGGTACAGATCGAACACTAAGAGCCACTGATCTGAGAGTCTGTCACCAACCTGAACTCTGAACACAGGAGCAGTGTAGTAGTCACAAACTGGTCCTCTTATTTCTTGGCAGGGAGTCCACATTTAGAAAGCAACGCTGTGGCCAGGAATATAAACCAGGCACCAGCACCGAGGTGGGCGGTGCAGTCCACTGTTCGTAAATTATGTGTCATGTGTGACAGAGTTGAAATAGAAAACGTGGTTCACAACACGGTGACAGAGGCACTTAAATTGTGCTCGATCAATCTAGACACCTCGACTTTGCCAGGTGGCCAAATCCGTCTGACAGACTAATGCAGAAGCGCCTCGCTACCTCTGATCAGTGTCACTGACGCAAATAGGAAGGAAGCATATGGCAGGTTCAAAATCAGCAGGTGGCTGATAACAAATAATTAACGAAAACTCACCCTAACATGGGCTAGAGACGGAAAGGAAAGGAAGAAGTCTTTCAAATGAACCCAGCGTTATGTTGGACAGAGAAGGCTTTACATACCTGCGTTTAGAACAGTAGGTAAAGGCCAGTAGTGGAATGTAACGGAGTACATTCACTCAAGTAATGTATTTAAGTCAAACATGAACGTACTTTTACCAGCTTTGAGAACACTTTCATGATCAATCATTATAAAACATATCATATATATTATTCTGAAATGGACCAATCTGCACAACGACTACTTTTACTGTCGCTACTTTCACGATAATACTTTTCTGCTTTAATTGAGTTACCTTTTGATTGCAGGACTTTGACTGTAACAGAGTATTCCTACACTCTGGTACTTCTACTCAAGTACAAGATCTGAGTACTTCTTCTACTACAGTATAGTGTGTAATCTTAGACACTTGTGAATGCATGTCTTTTGTACTGTGAATAAGTATATTCATTTTATGTTGTCTATTAAGAAAAGATAATAAGAAGAAGTACTTTATTGATCCCAATGTGGGACATGTTTGTGTTGCAGCAGCATAACAAGACATGGTGTTGTTCAATACAAATTAAAAGACAAGAAATAAACAAGAAAGTAGAAAATATACATGTTGAATTTACAAAGCAACAATAACAAGATATAAAGCAAGGTATTATATATACATAAGTATGTGACAGATGGAATATTACATATTAAACTGAATATATAAGTGTAAAATGTACAGTGAAGAGAGAAACTATGGAGCAGAGATTTCTCTACCAGCCAGAGGTGATTTGTTACACAGTGTTATTGCAGTTTTTAAGAACTATTAAGAATGTTTTTGTAATTCTTGCACAATGACTGTCAACAATGCTGCTGTGACAAATCTGTATTATTCTTTTTTTAATTCTACACTCTGTTAGTTCTACTTTGTCTTCAGTGCAGGACTCTTCCACCTGGTCTGTAGGTCAGGGTCTGACAGAGAGCACCGCCCCTCACGTATCCATGCCTGGTTTGTGATGGTGTGAAGCCTGCCAACTTTACGCAATGCTAACAAAAGGGACACTTGCTCACTGCGTTTTAACATCACGGCAGAACCGAAGAGACATGTGTGATTCAGCTACCCTTTCCCTTTCACCTGACATCTTACTTTGTATCCGTTTGTAGGGAAACGTGGCCTATTATATATCAATCACTGTCCACCAAACAGTGCTAATTGGATGTGTGTGTCGACTCACAGCAGGCCTCGGCGGGCCTAATCTTTACAGAAACTCTCAATCTTATTAAGATGTATTCAAAAACGGCATAGACTTTGGGAAGTAACTATGTTTTAAAAGGTACAGATTTGTAAAGTAACGTTGACATTGCTAATGACAGTTTGGTATCCAGCTCTGTTAGCACAACGTTAGCCAGGCCTCGCGCTAGGAAGTGCGCGCTGGCCGTTGAGGCAGATTTTTATGAATGGTCGTAGTGGCCAAACGGTGGTACTACAACTCCAGTGACGTCATTTTGGCCCAAAAAGACTTTTCTCCATTTACTTACATTAGTAAAAAGATGTCTGTAAATTAGCTTGTAATTGTTTTATATATTAATAAACTACCCAGCACGGACACTTGTATAGCCCCTATTTAAATCATTAGGGTGTAAAAATTGTAAAATGCGCTTAAAAAAAAGCTGAATCCAGAGTTATGTTCCCTCTCCATTCATCTTATAACTTTGTTTTATTTAATTCCTTTTTGTTACATTTGTATAGTTATTTTATTCCCGTTTTATTCAGTCCTGTGTTGGTATTAAGTGTCATTTTTACTCACAAAGCTTTGTGTTAGTCTGGATATTATCTGGGAAGGGGAGGAGATAGTATTGTTTTATTGTTGTACTCTTTGAGTTAGGTGTTGTATACATAACGTTAGATTTGATTTGATTAAAAGCTGAAACCAGATCTATTTTCTCGCTCCATTCATTTGACTGACAGAGAGCTCGAGATCGGAGGCGGGGCTTAAGGAAACCACTACTGCGCACGCGTAATGGGCCCACATCCGGGTACTGTCTGAATCTACCGTCTCTCTGTTTTGGCTTCATGCGCTACTGAGCAACTACATAGGAATGAACGGAGTTCTCTTTATACATCCATGTGCTAGGACCATAAAGCCCATGCCCGACATTAGCACATCACAAACGGCAGGCTATGTTCAGCTTAAACGTTTTCACTCATTAAGAGCTGTCAAACAAGCAAAGTAACGATAGATAATGTAGCGAAGGCAGCCGTTGGTGGCTAAAGTAGCCTCACACCACAGTGCCTGCAAATAGAATCATGGCTTTATTTACACACGCGCGCACACACACTCACAACGTACCTTGTTAAACGGCGTTTCCTCCGGTTTCCCCCGCTTTGTCAAGACAGCTAAAGACCACTCAGGTGCTCCTTGGAATAAAACCTGCTTTATTTTACCTCCGCTTGTTTGTGGTTGTGCAGCTCCTGTTTCCTAACGCTGTCTCTGAGCTGGTGTCTCTGCAGCGGACTCTACCGCCCCCTGTGGTTGGCTGGTGTCATGGCAACAGGGACGCGTGTACTACGCAAGGGGGCGCTCCCTCCACACATACATGTTACCAATAGTGATGATGTGACGTACTGCGCAGAGGCTGAAGCGTGCATCGGCCAGTGACGTCATCGATGACAAACGAAGCCTCGCTGTCCGTCGATACCACGTGACTGCTTCTGATAGTGCTTCAGATCGATTGAAGCACTATCAAGAGAGCTCAGACCCTCACTTATGGAGGACGGAACTTGACATATGTATAGATAAATAAATGCATAAATAAATGTATGAATAAAAACATGAATAAATAAATACGGAAATAAATGAATAAATAAATAGACGAATAAATAAATTATTTTTATTAGATTTTTTAAATTCTTATAATTGCATTTTTTTTTTCACATCCCCCGGAGGTGTTCTTTGTGTCCTCCTCCTCCTCCTCCTCCTCCTCCTCCTCCTCCTCCTCCTCCTCCTCCTCCTCCTCCTCCTCCTCCTCCTCCTCCTCCTCCTCCTCCTCCGGACAGTCGAGCTTCTCCGCAGCTACTTGCTTGTGGTTTTGGATGAATGGCCGCCATTGTTCTGCTTTGGTTCCCACGACCCGGCATTCGCCTGGCAGTCGCGTGGCCTCTGACAGCGGCTCGCGCTTTTGAGGGGTCTGTAGGTGTTTGTTTGTGTGTGTGTGTGTGGTGTGTGTGTGTGTGTGTGTGTGTGTGTGTGTGTGTGTGTGTGTGTGTGTGTGTGTGGTGTGTGTGTGTGTGTGTGTGTGTGTGTGTGTGTGGTGTGTGTGTGTTGTGTGTGTGTGTGTGTGTGGTGTGTGTGTGTGTGTGTGTGTGTGTGTGTGTGTGTGTGGTGTGTGTGTGTGTGTGTGTGGTGTGTGTGTGTGTGTGCGTGCGCGTGTGCGCGAGGGGTCATCTGGTCAATCTGACATCTGCTCCTAACAGTTAAGAGCAGATGTCTGACATTAGAAAACAGGAGAGTGATCAAAGCTCAAAGCTGGCGACGCACACTGCAAGTTGTTTTTGTTTTTTAGACTGACTGTAGTCCTTGTTTGTTTCTCAAAACGAAGTGAGGCTGCAGTTTTTTGCCAATAAGTGTTCTATTACAAGGACTTTGCCAAAGGTTTTTGGTAAGGATAGAAACATACAAGACAAAAATAGTGAAGCAGCAAAAAACGAGTAAATAACTTATGTTAAACTATCTAAATTGATCCCACAATGGGAATTTTGTTTTAAACAAAGGCTTTGTACTTCTGTTAAAAATTGAATATTGAAAAAAATGACAAACAATAAAGCATACAGTATATAGGCCTATCTATAGAGTATTTAAAGAATGAAGTATTCAGTTTATATACTCAAGAAACACTCAAGTAAAGTACAAGTCTCTCAAAATTCTACTTAAGTACAGTACCTGGTTACTTTACAGATATATCCTCGAGTGATTTGCCAGTCAATTGTGTTTTTTGGGGGGATAAGGATTGGCCTTCTTGCAGGTAGGGTAATGTTGCTCGTATAATGTATGATGTTCATATATATTTTCTTGATTACAAAAAAGAAAAGTATCAGAATCAGAACCAGGTTTATCACCAGGTAGGTTGACACGTACGAGGAATTTGACTTGGTGTCGTGGTGCATACATAAAAGTAAAAACACAGAAACACAGCACTATTTCACGAAAACTATAATAACATTAAAACATATTTAAAATCATATGAAATATAGTAAGATATAGCAGTATGGAATGTGTCTTTTGTGTTGCCAGACTTGTAGCCTCTCTGGGTCTAAGTGACACATCTTGCATACTGGCAAACCCATACTGGCAGATAAATAATGAAGCGATTTGTCGCTCTATTGTGTCTTTGGCCTTTTTGCAGGTATAGTGTAACGTTGCTCCTGAGAAGAATAGGCGAGGGTCTCCCTGGAGTGAAGCAGTAACTGCACACCCTTGTTCATCCATGGGAGAAGAGGAAACTGTTCTGTGTTGGGTGGAGGAAGAGGGGGAGGGGGAGAGGGGTGCATGGTTTCAGGCTGGACATCTGTCGCTTGTGAGTGTGTGTTTTTTTCTAGGCCGGGTCTCTGGGTTATTGAATGGAGCCAGTGACCTGTCAGTCTTGACTGATGGGAGCCCCTGTGTGGGAAAATCCCACAGCCAAAGAGCTGGGAGCATTCACATGCTAATTGAGGCAGATAAATAAGAGGGCCGCGCGGCGCCGAGGGCCCTAGAGACGAGCTGAGATCCAGAGGAGCAAACATGACCGCTTCATCCACGGCGCACAACGTGGGGAGACATCCCAGCGCCAAGGAGGAGAGAAAGGTATTTACATCTTATAGATATCGAGCAATATCTGTGTTATGATCAGAGGTGGGAGAAGTACTCAGACCTTGTAGTAGAAGTAGTAGAAGTACCAGAGTGTAGGAATACTCTGTTACAAGTAAAAGTCCTGGTAAAGTACAACACGTTTTTTGGCATCTAATTGTACTTAAAGTATTACGCAGATTCAGAATATTATATATTATATTTTAGATTATAATGTTGTGTTCTCAAAGCTGGAAAAGGTGCAGCTAGTTTGACTTGTAGACTTTGTATACTGCAGGGTAGCTTGTGTTGTTTATAGTTGACATTATCACAAGTCTCTCAACATTGTACTTAAGTAGAGTACTTGAGTAAATGTACTTAGTTAATCTACACCACAAGTGGTGTAGATTAACTAAGTACATTTACTCAAAGAGTACTTTTTCCACCTCTGCTCATAACGATCAGAGGTGGAAAAAGTACTCTTTCCTTGTACTTGAGTAAAAGTACCTAATACTCTGTTACAAGTAAAATACCTGTTTCAAGTGAAAGTAGCGACAGTAAAAGTAGTCGTTGTGCAGATTGGTCCATTTCAGAATAATATATATGATGTGTTTTATAATGATTGATCATGAAAGTGTTCTCAAAGCTGGTAAAGGTGCAGCTAGTTTGAATGACTTTGTATACTGCAGGGTAGCTGGTGGATTTACTCCAGGTGGAACTAAAGTCTGATTTAACACTTGATTATATTTCACATCATTCATCCACATCTGTGAAGTAACTAAAGGTATGTAGTGGAGGAAAAGTACACCATTCACCTCTGAACTGTAGTGGAGTAGAAGTACAAAGTATCAGAAAATGGTAATACTCAAGTAAAGTATAAGTATCTTAAAGTTGTGCTTAAGTACAGTACTTGAGTTAATGTCCTTGGTAACTTAACACCTCTGGTTATGGTACAGTTTGGACCTCGTTGTCCTCTGCACTTCACTTAAGTGATATGTTTAAATCTTTCAGATGAGGAAGCCGCTGATCGAGAGGAAACGACGAGAGAGGATCAACAACTGTTTGGATCAGCTCAAAGACACTGTGATCGGAGCGTTCAGCCTAGATGTGAGTATTTCATCACGTCTTACCTTCTCTGTAAGTAAACAATGGAGTCTGAGTCAAGCTTACTTCAAGGCAGAGGGGGTAGAAGTACTCAGATCTTGTACTTCAGTAACAGTAGAAGTACTTAGATCTTGTACTTGAGTAAAAGTAGAAGTACTCAGATCTTGTACTTCAGTAAAAGTAGAAGTACTCAGATCTTGTACTTGAGTAAAAGTGGAAGTACTCAGATCTTGTACTTCAGTAAAAGTAGAAGTACTCAGATCTTGTACTTCAGTAAAAGTAGAAGTACTCAGATCTTGTACTTGAGTAAAAGTGGAAGTACTCAGATCTTGTACTTCAGTAAAAGTAGAAGTACTCAGATCTTGTACTTCAGTAAAAGTAGAAGTACTCAGATCTTGTACATGAGTAAAAGTAGAAATACTCAGATCTTATACATGAGTAAAAGTAGAAGTACTCAGATCTTGTACTTCAGTAACAGTAGAAGTACTTAGATCTTGTACTTGAGTAAAAGTAGAAGTACTCAGATCTTGTACTTGAGTAAAAGTAGAAGTACTCAGATCTTGTACATGAGTAAAAGTAGAAGTACTCAGATATTGTACATGAGTACAAGTAGAAGTACTCAGATCTTGTACATGAGTAAAAGTAGAAATACTCAGATCTTGTACTTCAGTAAAAGTAGAAGTACCAGAGTGTAGGAAAACTTTGTTACAGTAAAAGTCCTGCATTCAAAATGTTCCTCAAGTGAAAGTAGAAAAGTATTCTCATCAAAATATAGTGAAAGTAGCGACAGTAAAAGTAGTCATTGTGCAGATTGGTCCATTTCAGAATAATATATATGATATGTTTTATAATGATTGATCATGAAAGTGTTCTCAAAGCTGGTAAAGGTGCAGCTAGTTTGAATGACTTTGTATACTGCAGGGTAGCTGGTGATTTTACTCCAGGTGGAACTAAAGTCTGATTCAACACTTGATTATATTGTTTAATATTAGAGTGGTGTAAAAGTACATATATACCTCTGAACTGTAGTGGAGTAGAAGTACAAAGTAGCATAACATGGAAATGTTCAACTAAAGTATAAGTATCTCAAAAGTGTCCGTAGTACAGTAACGGAATACATGTAATTAGTGACTTTACACCACTGTGTCTTATCTTCTCTAAACAATGGAGTCTGGGTCAGGTTTAACTTCATGCTCTCATCTCTCCACAGCAATCCAAACTGGAAAAAGCCGACATTTTGGAAATGACAGTGAAGCATCTGCAAAACATCCAGAGCAGCCACGGTAAGAAACATGTGTTCAAAGCGACGATTCAAAGCTTTGAAATGCTCTATTTGTCATATGCAGAATAATATAGCAAAGTAAAGTACACAAAATGGTTCAAGGAAGTTGCAGAAATAAGAAAGATATGTACATTTATAATAGATATTAAATCATGGGACCCTGTAGCTACTTAAGGGATCCCTTCAATTGTAATATATTCATTGTATTACGTTTTTTAGCTTCTTTTGTATATGTATGCTTGATGTAAATACTTGTCTTTATTCTTTTAATGTAAAAATTGTAATATCATGCTATTTTTTACAACTTATTTCCTTATATTTGCACCAAAGCAAATTCCTTCTATGTGTAAATGTACCTGGCAATAAACTTGATTCTGATGTTGATGGTTGTGGATATTGTTATGGTAAGAAACAATACTATATCATGTCATTTGGGTATGTTGATTCAGATATGTCAAAGGGTTGACCTTCAATCTCCAACCAGATGTTCAAAGACTGCTTTTAAGAGAAAGTGTGGCGGGCAGCTTCCTGGTGGGAAAGAAGTAACAGTTGAAAACGTCTTTTTTAAACTTTAGTTTTTATTAGAGCCCGTCCACACAGCGGCGTGCGTTGAAGCTTCCAACGCTTCTGCCCATTCACTTTGAATGGGGTGACGTCACTTTTAGCCGAACTGCATTTTGGGAAGCGACGTGGAGCGTTGCTGGCGTTGCTCGCTTCAAAAGTTGAGCAATGTTCAACTTTTGGCGCCTCGGCAGAAGCGTCAGCCAATGAAATCCCGTTTATGCAAATCTGCCAGTACAAGCGTTAGCCAATCAAACCGCGTGTATGCTGGGAGAGACTACGCAGGTCATTTCCTCATATTCAAACAAATGGAGGGAAAATTCATTATAGCGGTAGTGAATCACCCGGTGCTGTATGATCAGTCTCTGTTTCATCTACCGGGATACAAACCGGAGGAGCGAGGCATGGAGGGAGGGTGGCAGAGACAGTGGGTGAAACTGGTAGGTTTTTCGCCTGTTTGGGGATTTTATATCCAGTTTACTTCGTTTTAACATTGCTATTGCTTTGTATGTCGGGGGCGGGAGATTCAGGTGATTGGTTGTTGGTCGCGTTGCTCGCAAAAAATCCCCAAGCTTCAGACACGCCCACCGCCAAGCGTCAACGCACGCCGCTGTGTGGACTCTCCGTTAAAGGTGGGGTAGGTAATTCACTTCAGAAACACTTTTTGTTATATTCCATGGAATGCTCTTAACATCCCGATAGCAATGAATACATTAAATGCTTTTACAATAAATACATTAATAAATATCATCTGTGGAAGCTGTGGCGCTGTAAAAAGCACGACCAATCATCTGAGCCGGCCCGGCTAAAGTAACTGGATGGCCTACCTGCCTGTCAGCCTTCCATCTGTGAGGAAGTCTGAAGGAAGGGGCAGATTTTTTCCAGTTGTGTATTTTCAAATTCTAGCGCACTCGAGCTGGTTTCTCCATTCTTACCTACCCTACCTTACTTTAAGTTTGTACATAATGGAGAAACAAAACAGAAAAATCACATTGTACTTGTGGCTTTTCTCGACATATAACAATGACAGAAAACACAAGATCATAAATAAAAGACAATTAAATAAATCAAATAAACATCAAACTGAAATTCAACAGTCGTGGTTACAATTTGCGAGTGTGGACTGACTTGGAGAGGTCCCACTCAGTTCACCTTCTGCCCTGCAGTGGTGCCCTTGAGCAAGGCACCGGACACCCCCCTCCCCCCCTCACTCCCATTGCTCCTACTATGGGTCGCTGTGCGCTCTGCATGTGTGACCATTAAAAGAGGGGTTTCATCCCCTCAGTTCTATATTTGACTGCATGCATTCTCTACGTTGACCACTAGATGCTGCTCTAACCTCACTCCCCTCCTCTTTTCCCCCCCTGCAGACCCCACATTAGGCCTGGAGGCTCAGCAGAAGTACAGCACAGGTTACATCCAGTGCATGCATGAAGTCCACAACATGGCACTCACCTGCGAGTGGATGGACAAAACTCTGGGCTCTCGCCTGCTCAAACACCTCCTCAAATCTCTGCCCAAATCTAAAGAGGAGGGGCCGCCTTCACCCCGAAATGATGCTCCTCTCCCAGGGTTCTCCCCCCTCAGAGGAGACCTGGAGATGTGGAGACCCTGGTGACCCTCTGGATGGTTGATGTATCCGTTATGTATCTTATAGATATGCTGCTCAGAAGACAAACGTGGGGCAGTTTTTGTTCCGGTGGTTATTATGATTATTGTGGATGTGCTATAATGATTCCTCAGTACTTCCCTTTAGAAGTCGACCTCTCGTAGCCTGCATTATAGAAGGCTCCTATTAATCTTTTTGTGTATTTATTGTATTAACTGCTTTATTTATTTGATATTATAAGGCATTTTAAGACTAAACTATTCTGCTTGCTATTGCGTAGATGTTTATGTATTCCTCCTTTGCTGTAGGATTAACCCGAACGACAATAATAATAAAGCTTTTATTCATCTTTGTGAAAAATCATGTCTCATGTACAGTTGTTCATTTAGAAATCTGCTTTATGAGCCATGCAGTACAGAAGGACAGGAAATCACATCCAAACTGTTCAGGATATTTATTATAGTATCATATGGATCAATACACACATACAAAATCAAATCAAGCATATTTAAGTGTTGTTTGTTTGTTTAAGCTGGATTTTTTAGGAGAGGGAAGCTGTAGCACAGCTGCCAAAAAGAAAAGAGATTAGCCTAAAGACTATACCCAGAAGACATTTTGAAAACAGTCAAAAAACTGCATATATCAATATCTTTGGACCTACATTTTGAATCAAATATCATCTAATGACTGTAGGGGTCTCTCCCAATGACATCTAAAGGTGACCCCATGCTGCAGCTCAAGGTGCCTCTTTATTGGGTTATTAGTTTGATATACTTCCAGCTGCAAACACTGGACGGTTCAGTCTCACTGTACAACAGACAGACGGGTGTTTTCAGTCAATACACTCAGGTAAACACTCAACTTGCCCGGCAAACACATGTCAGACTGACAGAGGGGAAACTAATCTGAGATGTTATCTGTGTTTTGTCTTCAAACAGGACGTGTGTGTGTGTGTGTGTGTGTGTGTGTGTGTGTGTGTGTGTGTGTGTGTGTGTGTGTGTGTGTGTGTGTGGTCTAGCATTACTATACTTGTGGGGACCGACATCTGTTTACATAGTCACGTGTCCTCATAAGGGGAATCATTAATTTTAGGGTGAAGACTTGGTTAGGATTAGGGTAAGGGTAAGGTTAAGGTTAAGGGTTAGGCATGTGTTGGTTATGGTTAAGGTTAGGATAAGTCTCCAGGAAATGCATGTAAGTCAATGTAATGTCCCCTGAAGTGATGTATACATGGTGTGTGTGTGTGTGTGTGTGTGTGTGTGTGTGTGTGTGGTGTGTGTGTGTGTGTGTGTGTGTGTGTGTGTGGCATAATGAAAATAAAATGAACAGTGACTATTTTCAATGACAGTGTCTGTGAGCCAGCAGGAAACTCTTATTTTAAACCTTTATGTTGAGCAATTTCTATAATAAAATGCATCAACAACATTGACTTGTTAAAGTACAGGAAACGCTCAGGTGTTTCTTCAGACATCAACAATGGCTCTGTTCTGTTCAAATGATTCAGTCGATTATGACAGCGAATCAGAAAGCATGAAAACAGGATCCTGAAACTGAAGCTTCAGTCATTTTAATATTCTTATTTACCCGTCTTCCAATGAAAAATATGTTGTTATTGAATGTCTGTCTGGTAGCTATCGTGAGCTTCAACATGTTGAATATATGCCAGAGGTTATTGTGTGGTAGTGGAAGTCTAAATGGATGAACTATTTTTAAATAATACTCTAACAAACAAAACTGCACAACAAAGCCCTTAACACTGAATACTGTCAAGCTTGTATCGTAACTTCAATTTACCTTGAATCAGAAAGAACCACAATATATGTTTACATATAAGCTTCTTACGAAAACAACTATATATATTTGTATGTAACCCTTTTGTAATCAACAACATTTTTAATTAGCTAACTCCATTTTTTTTTCTCAGTAACATTAACTGATTACAAACTTAATTTGGTCCGACTGGTTCCTCCTTAAAACTGGTCAGGATTTAAACATGTTTTTCAGTCTTCATTGTAAAAGTGTAGCTTCAATTAAAGGGCCAGTGCGCACATTATTTAGCAATGTATTTTCCTGACTTACCTCCAGTGGTGTCAATACAATGGAGAATATCATTTAATGATTTATTTTATATATACATACCCTTATTAGTCCCACAGAGGGGAAATGTACATTCTGCATTTGACCCATCCTAGTGTAAAGACCCCGACACACCAAGCTGACACCAAAGAACTGACACAGACGGACCCCGACTGTTGTGTCGCCCATCGACGGCCAAAATCAGCTTGGTGTGTCCGGGCCTTTAGGAGCAGTGGACTGCTGTGTGTACGCCGCCCAGAGAACAGTGCCTTGCCCAGGGACACCTCGGTAGCACTTGGTCTTTCTGGGACTTGAACTGTTGAGCTTCTGGTTCCCAAGCCAAGTCCCTATGGACTTCACCACCCCCGCCCCATGTGTCTTACCAGAAATGTAGAAATCCAATGAACGATGAATGAACCTGGTTGTGCATTGTAACACTAGAACAATCAATTATGGTATTTGTTGCACCTGATCTTATTTAACTATTTCCAGAGAGACTATTTATTTAGTAGTTCCAATTGAAGACGGGAAGTGATGGATTGTCCAATCTAATCAAGACATTGTTGCTGTTAAGTTCTTCAAATCTCATCTCACTATAAATTAAATGCCACTCTTTATTGTATTGTTATGAGGAAGCATTATCTCTTGTTCAAACTCAAACAGCATTACCACATACATCAGACGTACTTTTTATGATTTGGGGGGAAGAGAACCTTTAATATCACATCTTGTAAATAGGTGAATTTGCACAGAAGTAATGAACACAATTATTACAGTTAATGGTATTTGTTTTGTTACTGAAAGGACAAGACCTCCATTTCAAGGTCGACCTTGAGTCATGTTTGACAGGGACTGGATTGTGCATGTGTGTTTTTTTATGTTGGAGACACTGACACTGTTTTATAGTCAGTGGTCGCTGGTAGACTATAATAAAAAATAAGGGAGATGGACACATATGGAATCAGTGAGGTTTAAACCAGAGTTTGGGAGCACTTCTCCCTCATAGCCATTTCCATCTTGGTGCACAAAACCGTCAAGATGTCATCCGTGGTGAAAGCAAGCGTTCTGGTACATTTCTGTTTTAATAAAGAAGTAATTCATCATGGGGTTTTGGGAAGTGAAAACGTACATATGGTCCATTCTCCCGCTATTATTGTCGTTATGATTGACCGCCACATGGAGCCAGGCGGCGGGTCTGAAGAGGGACAGGGAGGGGTGGGGGGCTGTCCCTCAGCGCAGCTCTCCAACAAAAGCGAGCCAGACAGCTGCTCTCCACAGTCCACACCATTAATGATCTGGAGCAGCGATCTGGGAGTGGCGACGTGCCAAAATCCTCCACTTCAAAAGTCTGAAACTCATCCTGCATTCAGGACGTTGGAGTTTTGTGGTGTTTGTTTTGCGCAAATGATGTGCGTAAAAGGACACTTTGTATACCACGTTGCATTTACCTGTCCTGGACGGATGCCTGTGATCTTCTTTTCCAAGCAGACATAACTGCTCTATTGTGAGGGTCATTTGCATGATAATACAGTGTACAAAACACTAATTATAACGAGGGCAGAGTGCTCTTATTAGACATAAACACATTTGTGCGGAAAGGACAAAACCAGCACATCCAAAATCAAAAAGTCCAAAACTGACACCACAAGAAGCATCATTTAATTCTCAGCAGTCCTAATGTTGTTTTGGATATGACCACTTCATATTGTGCATGTTTATACATCCAGATTATACAGATAGGGTGTCGCCATATGCTATCAGACCTTACACTCTGGAGCAGCAGAGCTGAACGTGAGAATGCAGTTGCACACAAATCAGAAGTCACCAAACAAACGGAGAACAAACGAGACGCAGGGCAACACCTGTCGCTTTCTTTGGAGAAGGGCCCTTAATTCCCCCGGCTGATTCAGTTTGGATCCGAGGGGCCACGACGAGCAGCTGCCAACTGAAGGCATCGCGTTACATCCGAGAGCTGCGGGTAAATCTGCTGAGGCTCGGACACTGAGGACCGCAGGAAGAGGAAGCGGTCGGGCAGGGGGAAAAACCAGAGGAGATATTTACTGTTAGATTCAAGGATTCAAGGAGATTCAAGGCTTTTATTGTCATTTGAACAGTGTAGTTTTGACAATTAAATCTTAGGTCACAGACTCCTCCAACAGTGCAACACAATAAAACAGATCATAGTGCAAGTAAATAACATAAGAAATAGTGCAGAATAGATATACAAGTAATTGGAATATTGATAAGTTGCAGATAGATGCATGTTATGGATGTTCTTTCAAAAGTTCAGGAAGGCTGTGGTGAGTCAACGTGGTCAGAAAAGTGTGCAATAAGAATACATACCAAGCCATTGTTTGGATAATGAATCAGAAATCCTTTATTCTTTGTTTTTATTTGTTATATTTACAGCATTATAACAGCAAAGGTACAGTGCAGATAAAAGGCAAACGTAAAGGACATAGTAACTCAATAAAGAGGCAAGAACACGTTAATACAAATAAAAGCATGCCGTATTAAAATCACAATCATTTACCACACAAACTAAATGAATAAATAAGAACTAGCAACATTTAAAACAAATCAAGCAAACATATTAAAGTGTTAAAAGGAGCCAATATATTAGCAAATTGTAAACACAAATAAAGGACGTTTCGCACACTAGCTGTATTATTGCACTTGATATGAATACAAAAAATCATACTTGATACCAAACATACCGCTATTTTTAATACAAGAATAACCCCATGGCAAACTTACACTGTCATTACAACCTTGATGACATGGTTTTATACAACATATACATCGACTTTGCATCATGTTGTCATCTTATCCTGCACGATCATGACTTTGGAAGCACATCACATTCATCTAGTTGACATCCTCGTGGATTCATCTTCTTATTACAGACACATGCATTTCCTAACATTCGGTCTATATGCTGTAAAATGTATTATCTCTTCGATTTACACACGGCATCTATTGCACGTCTGTCTGTCCTGGGAGAGGGATCCCTCCTCTGTTGCTCTCCCTGAGGTTTCTCCCATGTCCCCTTTAAACTGTGGGGTTTCTCTGGAAGTGTTTCCTTGTACGATGTGAGGGTCTAAGGACAGAGGGTCTAAGGACAGAGGGTCTGAGGACAGAGGGTCTAAGGACAGAGGGTCTCCATTAAGGAGGCTGTTGTTAAATTACAGGCTGTTTTTAACATTATTCAGACTCAGCTTGCTGAACTTAAGCTTATTTTAAATGTTGATAAAACCAAGGTAATGCTCTTTTGTAAAGCTAAAAAGACACCAGAGCCTGTTTTAGATATTGTTACTATGCAAGGACAAGTACTCAAAGTGGTTACCTGTTATAAATACCTAGGTATCTGGCTTGATGATTGTCTCACTTATAAACTTCATGTCAATAATCTGCTTAAAAAGCTGAGGGTTAGGCTAGGTTTCTTCTACAGAAACAAGTCCTGTTTCTCTTTTGAAGCCAGGAAAAGGCTCTGTGACCTTTGACCTGTGCTGGACTATGGTGATCTGATCTATATGAATGCACCTGCCTATTGCCTGAACAAGTTAGATGCCGCCTATCACAGTGCCCTGAGATTTGTTACTAACTGTAAAGCACTTACTCATCACTGCACCCTGTATGCCAAGGCAGGTCTGCCTTCACTAACTGTACGGAGGCTCAGTCATTGGTACATGTTCATCTATAAAGCCATGTTGGGTAAACTACCTTTTTATATCTGCTCTCTGATCTCTCGACGAATTGAAAGTACATATTGCCTGAGATCTCATGATGTTGTTTTATTAAATGTGCCAAGTGCTAGGACTGTCTTAGGGAAGAAAGCTTTTAGTTGTGCAGCTCCACTAAATTGGAACAGTCTGCAAACATGTTTAAAACTGAGCACTTTGGTTCCCCTGCATCATTTTAAAACTCGGCTGGGTGACATGCTGTTTGATACTCATGGTACCTGTCTCTGTAAATAGAGTTTGTAAACTGTACCCTGTACATTATGTTGTTTGTCATCCTTATTGTTGTTCTGTTGTTTTTATGTTACATGTGTAACTAATGTCCTGCAGGTCACCCTTGAAAAAGAGATCTTTTGATCTCAAGGGGCTTTCACCTGGTTAAATAAAGGCTACAAACAAAGGACAGAGGGTCTAAGGACAGAGGGTGTCGTTTTTCTCATACTGATATTCTGAACAATCGGTGCTGTTGTATTTACTGTAAAGTGTCTTTACTGTAGGCTATTTTTTATTATATGTTCAGCACTTTGGCTCCACCAAAAATCGTTTATAAATGTGCTATATAAATAAAACTTGATTTGATTTGATCTGTTTGCAACTCATCAATATTCCAATTACTGTATAGACTATTCTGCGCTTTCTATTATATTCTGTTTTAATATTTAATTTACCTGTATAATATGTTATCTGTTTTATTGTGTTGCACTGTTGGAGGAGCCTGTGACCTAAGCTTTTCATTGTCACAACCACACTGTAGCTACATGACAATAAAAGCCTTGAAACTTGAAACACACAGTTGATATGTGAAGAGAGAAAAAAACGCAGTGGTCGTTGCCTTGACACAACAGCCTGTGAGATTAAAGCCCAGGAGCCCCTGGGGGCGCGAGCCGGGGGCTGGCCGGAGACAAAGGGAGCGCGCGCTGATTGGCTGCGACCGCGCGCGCTCTGTTGTGCAGCTCAGTCCCCATTCACATGTTAATAAGCCCCTATAAATACTAACAACAGACACCCAGCGCCGGCAGCACGTCTCACTAGGATTGCACAATAAACACCGGGCGCTTCGCTTCTGCCTGAGAGCTTGTTGTCGATTTTTTTTTTTAACCGGTTCCGTTTGCCAGCTGCTCCTCTGGAACAAGGAGCCTCAGATCAGACCAACATGGCCCCCTCGGCTCGACCCAGCAGCTCCGAACTGGATATGGATGAAGACGAGGAGTCCTACTATGGGATTCAGAAAGCCGACAGAAAGGTACCAAACCCCGGGTTAATGAAGGAATGATCAGGCGCTATTTGGAGACACTTGGGATTTAAGCACTTGTTACACCGGTGAAACTCTGCAATGCTTTTACTGGAGAGGTTAACGCCAAGGAGGTGGAAGAAGTACTCACTCAGACCTGGTAGTGAAAGTAGAAGTACCAGAGTGTAGGAATACTCTGTTACAGTACAAGTAGAAAAGTATTATCATCGAAATATACTTAAATGAACAAAAGTGAAAGTATGGTCATGGTGCAGATTGGTCCATTTCAGAATAACATATATGTGTTATAATAATTGATAATTAAAGTGTTATCAAAGCTGGTAAAGGTGCAGCTAGTTTGAATGACTGGGTAGACGAGTAATAATTCTAACAGCTAATTCAATCCAACATATCGTATACAAATCTGTGAGTGTATGTCTTTGATGGCTCTTACTTAACAACACTGTTGAGAAATAACAATGCTGTGCAACCATCACTGTTTTTGTCATTATTAATGCTGGCTGTGTCTGCTACTTCTCTTCAAAATCAACCACTATGGACACATTTTGCTTTATGCACTTGATGAACTCCGTAAATCAATGAGTTGAATGGCAATGACGTGTATTGATTCTCAGTTAATTGAATCCACATAGTGTGTCGACACCACACAATACTGAACATGAGAAATACCAATGCTATGTGCATTATACACCTTTCATTTTTCTTACAATTGATTAAAGTTATCATTTGTCCAGTGTTTGGACATATGTGGCTTTACGCTCTAGTTAAACAGGTGACCGTCTGTAGTGCATTTACGTTATAATTTAACCTCAATAACATTTATTGATTCCTAAAATAGATTAAGTCCAAATATTCAAAGCTTATTCAATCCAATATTACTTTTTTTTACAATTTACTAAGTTAATCACTACTACTTTCACTTACTTTAATATGCTCAGTTTCCTAATGCTGCTATGTATTGTGTGTTTGATGTATTGTATCTTACCTCTTTCTTTGATATGCTGGTCTACTTGTTTTATTGTTGCCGTATATCTGCACGTTCCTCTTTGCTGCACTACTGTACATTTTACCATTACATTACATTACATTACATTAAATTACATGTCACTTGTTAGACGCTTTTATCCAAAGCGACTTACATACTCAATACTGTGGACAATCTCCACAGGAGCACTTTAGGTTGAAATGTCTCAGGGACACAACGACATGCTGACTGCAGTGGGACTCGAACTTGCTATCCCCTGATTCGAAGTCCAGCACACTGGCCACTGAGCCACATTTCCCCACTTTCTGACGATTGTGTTTTCAGACCAGGAAGCCTCTGGTGGAGAAGAAGAGGAGAGCTCGCATCAACGAGAGTCTGCAGGAGCTGCGCACTCTGCTGGAGGACTCAGACGTGAGTTCACCTGAGGTCACCTGGAGCCGAGGTTCAGAGGAGGGTTTTCTGATGGAGTTTCTAACGTTTGTGTTTCCCACACAGCTTCATTCCAAGACGGAGAACGCAGAGGTGCTGGAGATGACGGTGAAGAAGGTGGAGGAGGTGCTGAAGAACCGAAGCCAAGGTCTGCACAGCTCTGTTAAAGCCTTACAATCTGACACTCTGAAAAGCATCCTCTGATATCTTCAGACCTTAACATCTAGAGCAGTGGTTACAAACATGGGGGTTGTGGCCCCATTAAGAGGTCACAAGATTAGTTTCATGGGGGTGTAGGAGAAGCAGAAATACTGAATTCCTGGATACTTTTGCTTTTTTAGGGGTTAAAATCTTAATAAAACCTGGAAGCTAGGGTTGCTGTTACTAAGCTTGGGGTCAGGTTCCCATTAAGAGGTCACATGATGCATTTTAGGGGTCGTAGTAGAAGCAGAACAAATTCAAATGTCTTCGTCGTGTAATTTCTGGATACTTTTGCTTATAGACTGATATTATTAAAATAAAACCTGGAGCCTAGAACAGGGGTTACTAACCTGGGGTGCAAGATACATTTAAGTGGTTGCAATGGCAGCAGGAAATAACAGCATCCAGGTAAATGCATTCTTAGACATGCTTATTCGTATGGCTTAAAAGTTATTTCAATAAAGCAGGAATAAATTGCTCTTAGTAAGCTGGTTGCATCATGTCTTTGCAATTGATTCAGAAGCGTCACAAGTAGACTTTTACTTATACAAACAATGGTATCACATGACAGCTACAACTTATTTAGAGGGAATACAGGATAGTTTGTGGTATTTTAACAATAGGTCGATTCTATTCTTATAGAATGTCATATTTTTTAGGGTTGTTTACTGTCTATCTGAAATGTCCTACTTTACAAGACAACACCTAACACGCTCAATCATTTCTCCTGATCTGTTTTTGTATGTTGTGTTTTATGTTTTGTTTTAATGGCCTTACTACAATTAGTCAAGGGACAACTCGCACATTTACAGTTCTGAAGTGACTGTTATTTTGTATATATTGATTGTCGTGCTTTTATTTATGTCTTAATGTGTGCATATGTATAAGTGTGTCTGTTGATTGTGTATATATAGGTATATACATAATACATATTTCTATATATATATTTGTATTTTTGTGTTCGGGATTGTGGGATTGTGGGAAACGGTATTTCGATCTCTCTGTCTGTACACACAAACTGAAACTTTGACTTGACTGTTTCTCAAATAAACAAAAGTAAGCCACAGCTACTCACACTCTTCCCCCCTCTCCTCCACAGAATCAGACACCCTCTCCCAGGAAGCCAGCGAGAGGTTTGCTGCCGGCTACATCCAGTGCATGCACGAGGTCCACACCTTCGTGTCCACGTGTCCCGGCATCGACCCCACGGTGGCGGCGGAGCTCCTGAACCACCTGCTGGAGTGCATGCCGCTGAACGAGGACCACCTGCAGGACGTCCTGATGGATCTGATCACGGACGCTTCTTCTGGGAGTAACAGCAGCAGCTCTTGGCACGGAGGCGATGAGAGTCTCTGTTCGTCCTCGCTGGCCTCACCCGGAGGACAGAGTATTTCCTCGTCCTCCGCCCTCTCCCCCGCCCCGTCCACCACCTCCAGTGAGGACCTGTGCTCCGACCTGGACGACACCGACAGCGAGCAGAACCAGAGCTCCAGCGAAGGCCCCGAGACCCCCGTGACCTACCTGAGGTCCATGTGGAGACCCTGGTAGGGGTTTGGATATGTTGGAGCTGCTGAGACCGGAATATTCAACCCTACCACACAGAAAACACTTCAAAATAACATTTCCTTTGGTGCTGAAACATGCATTGAAACCCATCTTTGTGGTGGTGCAGGAATGAGTCCTAACACCTGGAAATGAGTCAGCATTTACCACTTCCCATTCTCTCATTTTAAAGTCAATGGTTTTTTGATTGACTAGGGAGACCGGAATATTCAACCCTACCACATAAAAACACTTCAACATAAACATTTCTTTGGGTGGTGCATCTTGCATTTCTTGGCTCAATTAGCCCTGGCCACACACATGGATTTCTAACTTCTGGATCCCCTGGAGATCAATTTGTCGTTGTGTGGAGGAACCATCTTTTTCCCACTATAGAGTGGTGCAGGAATGAGTAAAAAGACCCGGGAATGAGTCAGCATTTTACCACTTCCGGTTCTCTCAGTTTAAAGTCAATGGTTTTTTGATTGGTTTTTGGTAACTAGACTGAAATGAGGTCTGTGGTTAAAACAAGCTGAAGAGATTTTCACGTTTTGTTCTACGACATAAAATACTGCTGAATGTCCGCTTTTGTGTGTCTTAAAAAGTGGTGTTAGTATGTGGAGAAAATCCTGCTGAACAAAACGTGTAAGTATCATTATTTCCACAGATCATATTTTCTGCAATATACCAAAATCCAATGGAAAAATCCTATTGGCTTTTTGTCGAGGGAGCCCTTAGGGTGCTAACTTCCGGGTTTGCTTTAAAAAATATGTCATTATCGCACCACCCTATTGAACACGACACGTGTAAATCGATCCCACTGCATTCTGGGAGATGTAGGAAATCACTCAGTGAGGTAGAAATAGAGAAAACACTTATTAAGTGCTTTGGATATCTTGGGATGTATTGAGTGTTAAACGAAGGGGTTCCCTTTATCTCAATACAGGGGTCTTTCCTGGACGTACACCCCCTCTCTTTCCTTTTCAGTATGTTGTGACTTTTCCTCACACCTGAAAAAGGATGAAACATTCACTTATAAGCCGGCAAAGGACAGACGAGGAACAGATCACACTTTCTTTCTTTTTGTAACTGTATATAGGATTTGTATGTGGAGAAAAGCTCTTGTAGAAACCGAGAAATTTGGCAATGACTCTGATTAATATAAATATTTCTATTGTATTTCATAAAGGCCTGTAGTTTATCGGACCAGTAGCCTCCTTCAGAATGACCACTTTATGTTGTAACGATGTGTAGAAATGCCAGTAAAATGTCTGAATTTGATAAATAAAATAATGTAAGTGAAAAGCTGACTTGACTCAATGTATGAGGGCAAATAATATGTTCTCAAAGTTGGTATAAAATATTGGAATCTATATTTATTAAGTGATTCTTTTTTAAAGGACACCAGGTTAATGTCTGTTAAGTGAGTGACTTGTCCTTCCTGTTGTCCTCTGGTCAATGTGTCCTGTCAAAGGTCCTTACACACCAAACTGACACCCAAAGAACACATTCCCGACGGAACGTCGCCTCACGTCGCCTCACGTGTCTGCGTCTTGGCCATGTGTCGCACTGGAACACACCACAAAGACTTCAGCCGACGGCCAAGAAGCACGTACGAACTGTGCATGCGTGAGTGGCAATAACTCTCCTACCAGCAGGCGGCGGTAGTGTGGTATTCAGTCATTCAAAAGAGGCCACAACCGGAAGAGCAGACTGCGTGATAACCGAGAGAAGAAGAACAGACTGCGTGATATAAGACAAACAACAAATAGCGCTGTGCGTTCCATTTTCACTCTACAGCGAGAAGCTTACGGGGCTTTCCCGAACCTGAGTCGAGAGCTGGAGTTAAATGAAAGCTCAGATTTGCCTTCTTAATAGTTTGTTTCGGTCCCTCACTTCCGTTTCGCTCCTCATGCACTGATTCGCTAGCTGAACAGGCCAATCAGAGTGATTTCTTTGGCCGCGGCCCTCCGGATTCAACATGTCGAATCGGTGGCGGAAGGTGTCGGCACGGCCGAAAAGACACGACGGTGCGGTACACACCAAGGCCGCGAGTAAAACTGCTGCAGAGCAACTATTTCAAGTATACTACGTCATCGAGTGGCGCCGAAGGACTGTTTAAATGCCCAGCAATTCTGCGCCACTCTATGACGTAGTATACTTGAATAGTTGCTCTGCAGCTTGTGCACTCGCGATTGAGAAACGGCCCAAGACACACCAATCTAACGACGCCCAAATCGGCTTGGTATGTAGGGACCTTTAGAAATGTTTTTTATGTAGGAAGACTTAAAAAAGAAAGTACGATCACTACTTCAATTAAGTGTTTTATTTATAGCATCTAGTAAATAGAAGATAAAAGCATGACATGGTCGCCTGATCTTAACAATAGTAAAAATAAATACGATTTTTTTACTCAAACATTGGGTTTAAATGTCTGTACATGACGTCTTTTAAAAGTAAAACTGAAATGTTGGTGATTATTTAAAGTATATGCTCCATAGTAAAAACCATGTGCCCAGTTGATGGGAAGACAAAACAAAGATTAAGATTCATTTTGTGCCCATTTAATTATCTTTAAACAGCAACTTATGTGGCGTACAGCAAAGAGACGAACAGCATCTCTCACTATCTGTTGTCCAAGTAAAATAACTTATAAGAGTTTATTCATTAGAGTACAATCTATTGTTTTATTCAAGTAAAACAAAATGTGAAAGATAAAGTAGACGTAAAAAGCATCAACTGATTCAAAGGGTGTAATCGAATGTTTTGGTCTTTTGTCAATATGTTTGATTTGTTATGAGATAAAGCACTATCTGTGTCCACAAGTAGTCCCAATTGGAAAGGGATTTTAAGTTTACATTTTTAACATGTTGGTGGTGCTTTAAATAGTCTTAAAATGTCCTCCGTATCATGATCTTGCCTTACTCCTTAATTTTTAAGTGGGAGTTGCATGGCTTTGTGCAGATTTAACTCCTTTGCCTACCAACCAAACGCTAAAAGTCCATATAATCAATTTAGACACTGAAGAAAGTCTCTCCTCTTTCTTTTAACACCTTCCTCTCCTGGATTTGTTCCTTGAAGGAGGAACCATGAAAGAGTCGCACCTCTTCAGAGTGACTTCAGTCTCACCTCAGGAACAACGAGCACATTAACAAAGGCCTGTGAGATCCTGTCAGCAGCTGCAAAGACCCTCACTTCCTGATAAAAAAGGAGAGGGAGAAAGAAATCCAATCTTTCGCTTCACAACATATCCAATGCCGATGGGCTGCATTTAATATTTGGTGAAAATCACACATTTAGTTGTTGATTTGTCGAATGATCCTTTAATCTTGAAGGAATAGTTAAGAAACCCAGAGAGAAGCTAGAGGAGGATTTAGGCCCCGGCCACACGAGACCGCTCGACTCGCTGGAGACGCTGTAGTACATATGCCGGGCCTGTAAGTGGCGCTGTACTTCCGCCACAAAATACACCAAAAGCAGTGAAGAAGACCCCCCAAGCATGGTTGCCATGGTTGCCGGTTGCCCTTCTGTTTATTCTCCGCGGTGGATTAGCAACATGTAGTTCATGTATTTCTCCATGTCCACTTGTTGCTGATGGTTGTGGTAGAGGAGCTGTAGATTTTGCACTAACATCTGTAGCATGGTCAGTAGCGCCGTCTGGAGCACGAACGCAACCCTGTGATCCGCCATTATTGTTGGCGAAATGCATCAGCAATAACGCGGGGGTGAGCAGGAGAGGTGGGGAGAGGCGGGGCTATGACCGTTTAGGGCGTACACACGGTGCCGCAAGCGTTACGTTACCAAACCTTCCCACTTTGGGATGCGTTATCGTTTGAGGGATCCGTTACGCGGTTCTGTACGGCCTCGTGTGGAAGAACCGTCCATACGATAAAGAACTATAGCGGATAACACCTGTTTTGTCTCCGTGTGGACGGGGCCTTAGGTAGAAACAGAATCAGGTTTATTGCCAGTTTACACATACAAGTATAATTTGCTTTGGTGTCTGGTGGTGCAACATAAACCATCTAAGAAAAATAAGTTGTACTTCACCAGTAGTAGAAAGTAACTAAATACATGTACTAAAGTATTGTACTTAAGCAGCTGCAAAGACAGGGACCCATACTCTCTGATATAAAATGACAAAGAAACCCATCCAGAAAAATAGGTTTCCTCTCATTTTCCACAACATATCCTAGTTGTCTAATATTTGGTGAAAATCAAATAAATCTTTGTCAAATGATCCTTAAATCCTAAAGAAATAAGGAACCCACCTGGGAGGAGATACGGTGTTCACCAGTGTTGGAAATAACTAAGTGTATTTACACCATTACTCTACTTAGGTACACTTTTTAGGTACTTTACTTGAGTATTTCCATTTTATGAATTCGACTCCACAACAATTAGGAAGAAATAGTGCCATTTAATTTATTTGACTTTCCTGGTTCATTTTATTAGAAAAATGATATACTAAGGAATGATTACATATTACGTTCACACCCAGTCTGAGAACACCAGAGAAGTTCCTTGATCTTTTACTAGAGTCAAAGTAGTAAAACCTCAGTGTAGAAATACTCTGGCATTCAAAATACAAGTACAAAGGTATTATATTGTAAAATAACACCGTACAATATGCGCTTAAAAATAAAATAGCAGCCAGATGACGGTGAAGTGGATATTGTACGGTGTTATTTTACAATATAATACCTTTGTACTTGTATTTTGAATGCCAGAGTATTTCTACACTGAGGTTTTACTACTTTGACTCTAGTGAAAGATCAGAGAACTTCTCTGGTGTTCTCAGACTGGGTGTGAACGTCGGTGTGAAAACATTGAAATGTGAGCGGAGGAGAAACCATGATCAAAGCCGAGGACATTCGACAGAGGAGCGTCAAACACACAGCTGACAGACGACACAAAGAGATACACAGGCTGCCTCCTTCAAAGAGACACACACACACCACACACACACACACACACCACACACACACACACACACCACACACACACACACACACACACACACACACACACACACATTTCTAGCATTGCTGATCAATCACTCCTTCATATTGTTCTGTGTAGATAAAACCACACATTACACAAATAATGAAGTGGGTGTCACATGTTGAACGATATATTTAGTAGTTTGATAACTTGCATTTTTGTATTTGTACCCCTGCTACAACACACATACACCCACCCCCCCCACACACACACCCACACACACGAGAATTATCCAGAGTAAAACGAGGGAAGGAATTTATTTTTATTTATAATTTGTGTGTAAATTTGTGTTTTTATTTCAAGATGTATTCGTTAGATTATTAATATTAGCATATTTGCAGGTAAAACATTAATTGCATAATCATTCCATTGTTGAATGAACAATTGTATTACAGGGGGAACATCTATCAATCAATGATTCAGATTTAAACTTCAACTCATTCCCCAAACACAAAGGTAATTTTAGGTTGCTCTGTAGCGTGTACACCCTATAGTGTGTGTGTTTGGGAATAAGGACTCAGGTGGGTGGATGGGTGTGGATGTTCATTGCAAGGACCTTCAGCTAAATGAAATTACTGCCACTCCCGACTTTCTGTCAAATCAGACGCACACATTACTGAAAGCTTTAACCTATAACACTCATAAGATGTAGTAAATCAAAACTGCAGTTTCCCTGCTACACATCAATACCATCAGGAACTCAAACAAGCACAAATACAAAAAGAAAGAAAAATTAAAGAGAGTGAGAGTGAACGTTCGTGTTGTTCATGTATACATTTAAGGGTTGTTACCTTGATGTGTTGTGCTGTTAATGTGTTTCAGTCACGCTTATTGTTGATCTATTGTACTGTATGGTAATAATGATAAACGTTATGTACAGTATAAGAAATTCCAAAGCAAGGCTGAGAAAGACAGAGCCATTGCTGCAAAAAGAAAACTTATATTAATTATCTGATTCCAGTGGCATGATAATAATGCATGAAAAGGTGCATTTTTGGTAGGATATATGTACAAACCAGAGTTAATGAATGTGGGAATACCTCCCTCCAATCGGACCAAAAAGCAGCTAACTGAAAACGACAGATGACAGGCTGACCAAGTTTCCAGATTTAGATAAAGTGGGGGAAAAAAGAGAAAGAAAAATAAACAGACCGGAGGGAGGGAGGTTCAAAAGCATCAGCTGCGCGTTTGTGACCGTGCATATGAATTCTGAGGTCAGAGGTCAGTGCGACGCACCAGTTGGCGTGAGAGTGATTCAACGGTGGAGAGGAGCATATGGCGCTGAAACAGATCCCCGGGGA